CTAAGGTCGAATAAGAAAAAGCATCAACGTCTGTGACATTGACAATTTAGGACGACCAATAGAGAAGGACATTTGAATGACATTGACCGTCCAGATGACCAATAAGAGGTAACATTGAAGTATTTGACCCTGACGGTAAGAACGATCAAAATTTCGGCCAATAGAAATCGACCAATAAGATTGCACTTCTAAAAATAGTATTCTTAGGATATTTGGTGAATATCCTAACATTGATATGATCAAACCAGATCTGCTGACAGATGTACGCTTTCATCTTCTCTGGATTGAGGAAGATGAACACTTATTAACTCACTGTGAGATTTGAGAGTCCTTAATTCGACCTACAATGAGGTATTGAATCCTCATCGTTCATGTATACTATAGTATGATGAAACAGCTGTGTGATTTTCAATGGTCTTTTAGCGAAGATCAGTTCTTCTTGTAAACTATGAATACATTTACTAAGTGAAATCGATAAATCAGTTGAAATAAAATTATGTTTAGCGGTTTGCAACGACCAGCAACTGATGAAATCTGGTGGATTCGAACCCGAGTCTGTCAGTTTCATAATCACAGAGACCATTAATGAGCTATTCAGATCAAAAATACATACCAACATTGGTTAGTTACTAAGTGGTTGGAAATGTCAGTTTTATTTAGTCCTTTGATGTTGACTGAATTCTATCACTAAAATTGCAACAGTCTAATAGAAACCCTATAACTTCAAATTTCTTGTTAATTGATAATCGTCAAGCACATCTGTAATTACATGAAATTCCAAATCAATGATTATTACACTCTTCATTTAAGAACAAATCAGTAAATAAAATAATTTCATTTTATTTTCTACAGTCTCATCCAGACACTGCACCTCATCAGCTAAGGATGAGATAGCGATTGTCACCAGCATCATTGTTATCATTTAAATTTTAATAAAAGTAACCATTCAACTATCTACTTACCAGGCATACTTAAACTCATACAACCACATTTAGATATTAGACCAATGCACAATGTTGATTCATGTATACATAATGATTGTTGTTGATGATTATTTATTAGCATTGTTTTAATTTTATTCTTATCAATCGATGTATGATGATGATGATGATGATGATGATGATTAAAACAAAATTGTTCAATAATTTTATCAATTGACAAATCTATGCCCCATGGATGAATTAATGAAATAATAATTTGTAGAAAAGTTGCTTGTGTTACATCCATTGTGAACATGTCATCACGATAGAACGATGTCGATGATGATAATGATGATGCGTTTGATGTTGTTTCTGTGGCCGTTGTCTGTAAAAAAATTTTTTTTTTTGAATAAACATTAACAAGAAAAAAATGATACGAAGTCAGCAATGTGATAGTACTTATTCATTAAAATATAATGTATATTGAGAAAACACATATGTACCAATAATAAGTAATAGTGAGAAAACAGTTAGAATGATGTAATTCACTGTTTAAGGCATTTAACTTTCAGTTAATAATTGATGAATTCGAATCCTGATCCATTCAATTCGGATAAAGTAATCCGGATAGTAATGTCACTAGTACTCATAACTGCAGTCTCATTCAAAGTCAAGTATACAAATTTGTATGTGATAAATGAGTTAACGATAACTGTTAAAATAGTAACGGATGAAATACTCGGATTTCCACCCATAAGTTACAGACAACACCCTTTGTTCCACATGCACTTCGGTTTTGGCAACACAACACAACAGAATACAAAGAAAAATCAGGAGACCAGCAAAACCTTTATATTAAGAAGGCACATTTTTACTGCAAGAATTCTTTATATGTAGCAACAAATATTGAACTTCGGAAGCAAGGCAAAACTAAAAGTGATGAAAATGTATTTTAGGTACAAGCCAATCAGGATCGACTTCTAAGGTTACGCGCAAAATTTAAATATCATGTACAACGTGTAGTACAAATGCCTTTGTATGGTGTTCAAAACGTTTAAAATCACGATGAAAAATGATTCAATCACAGAGTGTTGAGCGCATCAAATCCTCAATTATGTCAGTATGGGGCTATGTAGTTGGTTGATTTTCACTGAAATCATGAACCAACTTAAGCCAGACAGTCACTGAAAACGAAGAAGGAACTGATTACATTTCAGTATGAGAACACTTCCTTTGTAGGTCAGATAAATAAGAGTTTAAATTATAGAATCTTTAACAAATATTTTGGAAATCTAACAACCAAATTTAGCTACTTCACTATGAAAATGCAAATTGCTCATGAAGGGGCAGTACTAGGACGATGTGGAGATAGTGATACAATTCATCTACTTGACTTCTGAGGACTTCCACGAGAGATATGGCAGGTATCATATCATAAATGAAAACCTTTTTAATGGAAATGAAATTAATGTACCATAAATTTGGCAAACTACACTAACTAATTTGCTACTAAGAATGTTTAAATAGCTAACAGAAAGATATATATGGAATCAATCAAAGTGCATCTAAAAAGAACCATATAAACCATTAAATACCAACGCATTGATTTTAAGTTTAATCGCTCAATGTGAAAACTGAAGGTACTAGGTTCAATCTTCACTAGGACCGTGAACGCGCATCGCATAGGAGTTCACCATACCAGTACAAATTAAATGTCCAGTTTATATACACAAATTCATTCATCATTATCATCATACCAAGTTATTAATATCCTTTGAAACTTCACAATTCTGTGATAAAATATCAACTGAAAAACAAAATAGAAATATAAAAAAATTAAAAGGATAAGAATTAAATAAAAAGGTAGAAGGTAAAAACAAATACATTTTTGATGACATTACGCTTTCTGAGTTAGATTGCTCTGATAAAGAGTTACTCAGCATTTGGGACAGTTATCAACTCTGCCTACTTCACTTCTGTACATAAATAAGACACTGATAGTGTTGTTCAAAACAGTAATGTAAGCTCCATAATTAATCAACTAATCTAACTAACTCAAGAAACATGATAACACCATCATCCAGATAAACACTACAGGCTTCTCACTAGTCACAGTACAGGTAGTTTGATCAGACACTACACAGACAGGTAAAGCGCCAAGTGGGAAGCACACAGAGTCGAATATTGTATAGCATGACTCCTGTACGGCTACTTCCCTAGTTGATAGACGAGCATCGAACTAAAATAGACGTCATTATCCCCGCTTCTAGGTGTTTGCAGATGCTAACCACAGGCTTCACTCGTAATGTTGCCTACCTCTCATTTCCATTTAGTTTCGGTTGTCCAACCTAAGACGTCGGCACTTCGTGCTTACATTAGTTATGGTCGTCCTCAAGGTATTGTGACATATATGCATCTTAATGGATCGATGAGCCAATAATCGTATGTTCTTATCGCAGTGCAATTGTGCGTTTCTGATTAGTCTCTAACCTCCTATCCAGTAAACATCCCATGGTTATAACTACAGGCAGATACTGAACCATACATGTTGAACGGCCTAAGTCATTCACAATCCATAGGTACAAACTATTCAAATCTAGTCGCTCGTATTTCTGAATCTTAGCGTTCCAGGACGCTCTCAGTCCGTCTTCCGAATAGATAAGGACCTTCAAAATCCATGCCGCATCACCTTTGTATGCGCTAATATCGGACTTTGAGTAACTCCGCCCGTTAGAAAAACAGATTCCCCCTAACAATGAGGACCCCAACCGTCTTAGTAACCCTTCTAGTTCCAATATTACTCAGTTGAGCCTAGCGATTATGTTTTCATCTAAATTATATGGTAAGTCACTCAGTTGACATTTAAATCCTATTCAGACTTATTCTTGAGATAATCTAAATATGACTGCACATAAGTTCAAAAACCTAGTGCTATCTACATGGTTGATAATGATTTCTTTAGGAACTAAAAATAATTCTGTTTAAACAACAAGGATAAAAAAAGCTAAATATGAGTTGATTTGAGAAAATTTGCATTAGATATTTGTCCATAAAGACGAACAGTAAATAATGTAGCATGGAAAAAGGCATCTCAAGTTATTAAATTTTACCAAGCTTATATAAGTCTAAATTGATGTTAAGGCAGTAAAAGATAAGTTGTGATAAGTAGAGTAAGTAATAAACTTATGCAGTGTGCACTACTCACAAAGTGGTTGATCATTAGTGTGCGGTTGTCATGCAGCAGAGTGTCACCCTCAAGTCACTGACTAAGTGAAGCGTTTCCAATCCGCATGTATGGTACGATCAAAGTGCTTTAAAGATTAGAAGATATGTGAGGGGGGGGGAAATAAACAATAATCCGCTTGTTTTGCAAATCGAAGTTTGGACACAAGGTGTACACATATTTTGCCTAGTAAACTGTCTTCCCATTCGTTTATTTAAAAAATTAGAAAAATTCTTGCGGTTGGGATGAAACTGCACTAGATGCCAAAAACATCAAACCGATTATAATTTAAACAATAACGTACCAATAAGTGACTGAATATCCCAATGAAAAATAAATGCAGCTGGACCGGAATTCCATGTTGATTGATTTTCAGCATTTATCATCGTTGTATGCTGATTACTTGCTGTTGTAGCACCAATTAAATGCAATTGTACAGGTGGTAAACTATTTGTGCACAGTTTTTGTAAATCATCCACTGTAGTGTACTTTAATCGACTAGGTGCAGTAAAATGCACGGTACCAGATGAAGAAGTTGAATTCACACCACCACAGAATGGTATAGCTAATGATGTATAAATTGGGTATTGATTCGGTACACCAGTTAATGATCTTGATTTATAAGATGACATTGTTATGGATGGTAAAGTGGAAAATGTAAAGCCTAAATATGTTGATGGATGATAGACTTCCGTGATGAATTGAGCTTGTTCGAATAAATCTCTAGCGGATTGTTCCGTTTCAACACTAGAAAGTGGAAAACAAAATTTTGAAAAGGAGAGAGTAATTAAGAAAAGTAGAAAGAACTCCTAGACCTATTCCATCGGTTAATATTGTCTCAACAACCCTAACTAGTTAGTCTACACCAATTAACATAGCTCAGTCCCCTTGTCAATGACTTTGTGGATTTCTGCCATGTTTCAGTCTGGCTGCTCCTAGCTCTCTTCCAACCTACTCCTACAACACAAAACATAGCTCGACGAGGCAGTCGTGTTTAGGCATTGGTAACACATGTCCCGACCACCTCAACTGATGAAGTTTCAATACTTCATCTATTGACCTCATATACTTACCTAGTACCCATTTCCTAACGACTCCATTGCTTACTCGGTTGTCCCAGGATAAACGAGCAATGATTCGGAGACATCGATGATCGAAAACCAGTAAACTACGAAAGTCCTCGACTCTTAACGGCCATGTTTCGCATCCGGACAGTAGGACAGAGCGAACTGCTGCACCTTTGGATATCACGCCTGCGCCATAAGTGACACAGAAAGGCAAAAGCCAATCGAACCTTCTGTATCCATGCTGAGATTTCGTCAGTCACCAGGCCATCAGCGCTGATCAGACTCCCAAGATAAGTGAAGCGGTTGACACGCCCGATTACTTCACTCTCTATCACTAGTTCAGGTGCTGATGCAACCCAATCTTGAAGCAACATTTTGCATTTCGAGGAGGAAAACCGCATACCGAATATGCATGCATTTTTGCTTAGGGTAGCCAGAAGACTCTGCATTTCGTCAGTGTTTTCACCAAGTAGAACTATGTCTTCGTCATAATCTAAGTCGACAAGTGAGTCTCCTGGTAGAAGGTCCACTCCTGAAAGCTCATACGAAGATAGTGTTATTCTGTATCAGCACGTCTGTGAACAAAGTTGAATGAGAATGGATAAAGCTGATAGTCCGGGCGAACGCTACTAGAGGTCTTGGGGATTACGGTATTATCCCATTTAGAAGCTTTCATATCGCTTATTGTTGATGAGTTTGAAACAATATCTCGTCAAATTCTACATAAATGCTAACTGAACTTGGAAATGTGTAAACCACTGAGTAATGATTACATAGAGATTTCTATCGGACCTGCAGATCTTACATTTGGTCCCTGGTAGAGTCGTTACAGTACACAATACTGAAGAGTTCTATATTTAAAAAAAAAGCTACCCACAGCACCCTGCTGCGTTCAGTTTGATGAATACAATCTACTACACAGTTATTAGCTATTTTGAAGATTGTTACATTTAGAGCTAATAGCCTGACTTTCATAGAATGAAAAGAAAAAGACTTTTGAATAATGCATACCGTTCTAAGCAGCCCATACTTATATCCCATACTGTCACTGTACCATCTAAATAATCAATAAACAAAAGATCTTCAGCTAATCTCCAACCAATAGCTACAACTGGACATGAAGATAAATCACTTGTATTACGAGCGTAAAGAAAAGGACGTTTTTCTTTTAAATTAATTAACCAAACCGAACCATCTGCACCGAATGAACATATAGATGCCTGGATAAAATAAAAAAAATTGAGATAAGAGAACAAGCGATAGATAAACATTTAACAGTAAAATAAGAAAACGAATTAATAATGGATGGTATTCAGTTAAAGTATTGAAAAACTCATTTGTAATTACGTTAATTATACAGTGCTGACGAATACCATTATTACACTTAAATCAATCAGAGTACACACTCAAATAACCTAGTACGGTGGATAGCGGGAGAGTTTACTCTCAAGGTATATAACTTTTTGCTAAGAAAGTCCTACTTACTATCTTCTCATGGTGGGGATGTTGTATGCGAAATCAAGAAAACTAAGGCGAATGTTCGACGGGAGATGAAACCAAGTTAGATCCACCTAAGGCGCATTGGAAAACCCCGATTTTGGAATAATGGGTGTACAAAAACTCCATGACTCTGATGAAAAAAGGCTGTCTTAATTTTTTTAACAGCAAAGCAAAAAAAAAGAGAGAGAGTTGAGGACACTTAATTGTAACATTGAAATCGTGAATCGATCATTGTTAGACAACCATTAAAAACCTGGAAGAAATGCACGTCCGTCAAGTCTTAGTATGGGACTCTTCAACAGTGCGCATCCACGATCCCTTAGACAGAAATCGGACCCAGGATCTTCGGCCTCACGCACGAACACTGAATCCCTAGACGATTGAACCGGTATCCAACGGTGTGAATGTCTAACTTATGATCAATTTTAAATACTTACATGCACATGTTACATACACATTTCAAATTTCATTTATCAAGCCTAGGCTTATTGTGTATTTGAAGTTGAATTTGAATAGATCAAGAACAATAAACGCAATAGAATGACATGAATTGATTTTGTTTGATGACCTCTCACCAACTCTGCGTTCAACATAAACATAATGGTATTATGATTAAAAATCATTGTAAATACCGTATATTTTATATTATCAGAAATATTCTCATGGATAAAGATGAATATAAACGGTAATAAATATGAAGAGTTCTACGTTAGAACACTTTTCGAGATTATTAGTGTTGTTAAGTAACAGATTAAACTGCAATATGAGTCGAATCCATAACTCAATAGTCGAAATTTGTGTACTTTGACGATTAAATGGTCAAGCATTAAAATAGTAAATCCTCAGACCCAAAGAGATGAAGTGGGATTTAGAACATCCGGATGATTGGAAAATGAACGCTTAAACTGCTGAGCAATCACTTCATACACACAGGCACACACAAGACTATACATGGTGAGTTAGATAATTAGTGCACTAACAAATTAAAAAAATACGGTAATAAAAGTAATTTTATGGTTAACAAATGTCAGACATTGAACATATAATGAAAACGACTGACCGAAAGTCTCGGATTCCCAGCAACCATATTGATGACAGATGAAATAGGGGGACATATAGTTAGACCAATACAAGGTGAAGCATGACATCGGAATGTAGCTAAACACAATGATTTTTGATAATTATTGCCTAAAGATTTTCTACTGCTACTACTAATATTACTATTATCAGGAGATTCGTGCCATGGATTTAGATCCCATAGGCGAACAGTAAAATCCATTCCACCAGATAATAAATAATCTGGATTGAATTGATAATCTGTAATTGTACTACTGATATTATTGTTAGTAGTAGTAGTTATATTATCTCCATTATTAGTGTAATTCACTGAAATCGAATCATTTGATGATGGTGATGTTGATGGATATAATTGCCTTTCACAACTAGCCGGATGTAATAAACTTGTCACAGGGCCAATATGACCGCTTAAACAAAATTTGGACAATCGATTATGATGTTCCATTGATAATTGTTCATTTGAGTTGTCGGCATCATCATGTTGGTGCCAATAGATTGTTTTTAAAAAATCTGCCATACGAACAATGATAATGCACCCATTGGATAAACCAAAAGCTAAACGATATGGATGAATTGTAGGCGATGAACTTTGAATAGGTTGTTGATAAGAGAGCATTTGATTAATTTGTATACACACTGTTACGCTTACATTATGATTATTGTTAGTATTAGTATTACCACTACATAATATTTGATTGGCTACTGTGGAACTTGTCGGTGAATCGTCCAGTGATGAATGAATGGGGTTAATTAAATTTGAATGATATTTTGAGTCTGCAAAAGAACTCTAAGAGATTTAAAGAGAGAATAAAAAAGAATCAATAAAAATACTACTGAAATGAAAAGGCATACTTGTTGGTTAAAACCCCGTAGAGTACGTTGGTTATCTCAAGACTACAAGTGCGCTTTGCTGACAAATGCCAAAAGGCACGAAAATTAAGTCTAGGGTTTTCTGTAGAAAAAATTATGTATAGATGAACTCAAAATTCATCTGTGCCATATCATTCCATATCTCCAGCAACTAACCACAATTAATAAGCTGACCCTAACCAAGTCTGTACAATAGTCAACAAATTCATGAACAATCATACATCATAGTTTGTATGCGCTAAACTTTAGTGTGTATGTGAAGAAGTGTGGTACATATTCTAGAAATCACTGATTGAATGTTCACTACTTCATTTCATGCAACAATTGGGACAATATTCTGATAACGTTCTTCTAACAATCAACAAATATCATAACTATTAAATGCTGCCCTAATTAACGCTACAGATATATACCGATGCATAAACCAATGCTGACCATAAAATTAGACACTAATTAAGATTTCTCATTTCGTAAACTAAATTCAAAATATTTATCAATTAAGATTGTCGATCTAAAAAAAAGATTAAAGAAAGAAAAGTACGCCTGATTGACCAGTTGTTGACTTCATTTCATTATCAATAGATTTATGATAGGTTGAGTGAATATTGATATACACATTAAAATGTCCACATGCCATGCCATCTTAGAGTTAAATGTTAGATGTGAAAATTACAAACGAAAAATATTTTTGGAGGAAATCAATTATGCTTTTATTCGAGTCTATAAGTCATTGTGTGAGTCAGAAGGACTATATATATATATATATCATCAAATCCCAGACATTTAGGAATTTTCATGGCAAAGACGAAAGATAGCTAACTCATGTAATCTAAATCCAATGGCCTATCGTGTCCCATTAGAGTGGCTAACTGTGAAAAGAGATTTCACTGAAATCATGAATCGATCAAGGTTACTTTACTTTAATTAAAGATTTTTTAATGATTTCAAAACAAGTGCCAGACATAGAATACAAATGGAAAATAAAATAAGCATACCACTCACCGTCAGAAACATGGCTATATTAGGTAATGTATGCTTTTTCCATACATCATGTAGATCACTAAATGTTGTTGGAGGCGTAATAGGAACACCTACAATGTATAAAAAGATATATATATATATAGTGAGAGATTGAATGGTGTCAGCACGATCAGCTGGATACAACCCACTACGGTCACTGATATCAGGAGTTATAAGTGAACTGATCAACTATGAGTCACAGTCAACTACACTTTTAACAATAAACTATTACAGCAGAGTTAATTATCTGGATATGATAAGTTAGATGGATGACTGCTTTTGCCAATGTGGGTCCTATCCACCTCTAGCTCTTCTTGCTGATTTCTTCCTCCGCTAGAATCTAAGGTTGTGAGTAGGGACATTTTCATATTAAAAAAATTCTTTACCTATCATTTTTGAGAAGTTTGTTAAACGAGATAATATTTATCTACTTTAATATAAACAAACATATGTAAATTGTAGCTATACGACTGTACAGCTTAATTAACAGATATTTTTGAAAAGAATATTCAGTTCGTTGAATAGTTTTCATCTTTTGTTAGCATCTTTGATAAAAAATACAAATAAAATGCGATATTTACCAGAGATTCAATCAGAATTATGCACAGGATATTTTTTAAAAGCTTGAAATCCTGATTAAGAATCTTTAACATTGATATCAGAAGCCCAAAAAACCCACATACATTGAGGTTGATTTACATAGAGAATTTGGAATACTTTATTAATAACCAAACGCATTTCAAGTTTATAACATCATCGATCTTTTAGGAGGATTGATTGCACAGCTGAGGTTATTATGCTTTACAATCATACTTACACTTTTCTACAGTCATCATCAACAAGGGCAACGTAGAACGTACGTACGTACATAGTTCATGTTGCCATACCACATAAGCACGGACATGTAATTGTCAATTCAAATACCATAGTAGTAGAGGTGATAATGGCACTAGCAGTAATCGGAGAAAATATTTAAATACTTAAATAAACTTAAAAGGCATCTAAGTATAATCGAGTCTAACAATATAAAAATCATATTAGTTAGACTGATTCCTCTTCGATTGTCACAAGAGGACTTTTGTCCTATCTTATAAATTGAGACAATCAGTGATTGAGACCGGTCAGACGGGATTACGTCCAGTTTCCAGATTCTACCTAAGATTTCAGTCAATCTAACTGCTAAAGCTGGGACACCATCCTTAAAAATCCCAGGAGTCAATCTATCTGGACCCGTTGCTCTCCCACGCTGCAGATTTCCTATTGCTTAATAAAGAGTTGGACAACTTACATCGATTTGCCATTCAGCATGATTGGAGATGCTGGGCAAACGAAGCGTAGCTGAAGGCCAGTTGAACTGATCCCTGAAGTGTTCTGCCCATCGATCCAATCTTCTGGATTGTGAATGACTGATAGTCGCATACTTTTCCGAAAGAGTCTTACTTACAGTAGGATTCCTAATACCGGTCTCCTTGATAAGTCGAAACATCTGTCTACTGTTGCCTATCACCGTTGCCTTTTCCATCGCTCTTCATTTCGCTATCTACTATCTACTGTTCGCGATCATTGCGTAGGCTTTTTATCAGATTGCGCCTAAGTTGACTTCGCTCTTCGTCATGTTCAGAGCGAGGCGGGCTGAGTTTTCGAGCAGCCATCAGTCCCGTAGATGCTACTGAAATAAACGGCTTTCACCCTGACGACATGGTTTAACAACGGCATGAGCCTCTTTCTCTATCTGGCTGAACTTCTTTTCTGACGGGGTTAATGTGCGGGATGCATGCTAAACCGCTTTCCTCTGACACGACTTGACAGGGCAGCCTAACTTGTTTTCGATTGGTTCCTGAAATATATTCTTAGGTATATTATCATTAAGTAGAGCCCTAAGAAGTTTTCTTGCGATATTTTTCTTACTTCCAGTAAGACGCAAACTAATACGCGCTCGCACTATAGCATGATCTGAATTTAAACAAGTGCTACAGAATGAGCGGCAGTCTTTAATAGAGCCTCTGCACCGAAAGCATATAGCGATATCATCTAGTTGGGTCAATCGTTGGGTCGGCTCTGGTGGTCACCATATCAAGAAATGTTTTTTCTTATGCTAGAAGTTAGTGTTTGCTAGAAATAGGCGATTATCAGAACCACGACACCATCGGATCCACCCTGGTGTCCTTCCTCTTCACATAGTCTACCTACTTGAGCATTAAAGTCACCAGCCACTATTACTATATCAGAGCGCCTAAATTTTTGGAAGAGTTCTAAAAGCTTTCAATAAGACTGATTGTTCACCTCGTCTGAACTGCAGCCAGTGTGAGCAGATAGGACAAAGATGCAACGGTGAGTATCCCTTCCTTTCTGAATCCTAATTGTCCCGTTTGGTCGGACAGCGCATAAGCGACTGTCTAACGGGATCCAGTCTAGGAGGGATAGTTCTGCCCTAGGAATTAATTCTATACCTACACTAGAGAGGCCACGGGAAGCAGCAACAGGGATTCCAGATACACGAAGCGTAAACGGAGATAATTCTGTACCTGCGCAAGGTGAAATCAAATTGATGATTTTACTCGGATGTGGTATGCGCTTTTCGGAGACACAACATAAATCGATTGCATGGAGTCCTCGCTAATGAAGCGTGTTGTCCTATTTGGCACAAGGTACGAACATTAAAAGCTGCAATATGTAGTTTAGAGCGGGGTTTCAAGAGATCAGGAATAACGTTTCGTGAGCTCAAAGTGTTCGCTTCAGTGGCGCAAGGTGAAAAGCGATCGAAGGAAGAGTTGGTCGAGGAGATAAGAGAATTATTAGGTGTAGAAAGGATTGTGACCAATTTGGTCTCGTTTGCTTCTATGGGTATGAGGGTGGATGTACCCTTCCCGGATGCCCGATAAGATGCAAATCATCACTATTCATCAGAACAGTATATATTACGCATGACCAATAAACAAACCTAAATATTATATCCCCTCCTTAATAACTAATATCGAAAATTGAAAAGAAGCACATGATATGATGAGCACTACACTATGTAGAAATCTAGTAAAATACTGATTCGAATGCCTATATAATATTCATCCTACTACAAACAAAGAGGATGACACATCGTTTCTTTTTTAATTTCTCCTTCGATTTTAATTGGTATTATTTTACAATGAGAAGTCAGTTATGTTCGATCTGAACAGACCTGCATAAATTATCTGCTTATAAAAAAGTGTTTATCACTTACTGACACACAATCATCTTTAGAAAAAAAAGAAAACCGACTGTTGTGAGAGCAATTCTGTTCAATTAAATCACAAATTGTACTCGCTGCTAGATAGATACTTGTGACTCAAGAATATATATGCAAGACAAACTGCCGCTTTAAGTTACACTGATGTACATCTACCTACTATTTAGTTTACTAGCATCTGTACAGTATCTTATATTGACATTATAAAGTATACTCTTCCTAAATTTATATCCGAATACAACTCATCCAGCCTATTTTCATATAAAAAATGAAAGCAAGTCAGTTAATAGTAGTACTGTTGAATATGTGATCAATTTGAGCCATCTATCTTCTTATTGACTTTAGAATCTCCATTCAAAATTATTGAAGAAGTCAAACAAACTGACTGCACAGTAAGTTGAAAAAATTTATGTTCATAGGCAGTATATCTAATGCCTTGAATCATCATACTCCTAACAATTCACCATTTCTTATGTTGTTTATTTTACTCTTTATCTTGCTTATATTCATCGAGTTGACCAATTTTCTTTCACATATAATATTCATTTATATCATCCTTCAAGTATGAAATAACTTTAATCGAAAGCAGAACATTTTGTGAAGATATCTTTCATAATGAAACAACGATACATGACATATGCAATCAATCAATCGGATTCAGACAACACCAAAAGAACTACACTTTACAATATCTCAGTCCTACAAGTCCTGTAGTAATAATGCAATAGTAACGATTCAAACTGTGAAGCCAGATAACAATAGATTAAATGTGTCACATAGCACTAGTTACAAGAAGATTACAAGTACACCTCATTGAAGAGTACCGAATAGCATGAAATCTAGATCAAGCAGAAATTATTGTCAATCACTTCCAAACATCTAATGAAACAATAATTCTCTAATTTATCATAGACACCATGAGTAAACTAAATATTAACACAACTGTATGAAATGACAATGTTCTTTCATGGACCGTTTATATATATATATATATATATATATATATATATATATCAACCAACTGTATCACGAGGCAAGCCCCAACTTGGAGCTCTTAGGGCCAAAGGGAAAGGGGTAGACCAAGGAACACACTGTGCCGAGAATCTGAAACAGACATGAAAAGAATGAACAGCAAATGTATAGAACTGGACAGGAAAGTCCGGGTCAGAGTTAGTTGGAGAATGCTGGTCAGTAGCAAATCATCCATTAAAGGTAACATACGTAAGTAAGTGAGTAGTATATTTATGAGATCAATAGAAATCGAACAAATACTAATCACAAATCATTAAAGCACATTATAAGAATATATCATTATTTTTAAAAACAATAAAAGAACACTACTTTTCACTATTGAATCATTTAATAACATTTGTTTTTCTTGTTGGTCGACAATATTCAACTTGAATGAATCTGATTTGATACACCAAGCTAATAATTGTCCATGGATAGTACCAGCTAGTAAATATCGCATATTGTCATTAGGATGAATAAATGCTGAAGTGAAACAACTGAAATTTTGTACAGTAGTATTTATTGAATTTACACTTGGATGAATAAGGTTATCTTTATTCGCTTTTGTTTTCGCATTGTCATTGTTTGTTAACATCAAACGGCTAAACAAATGAATAATGTATGACAGGAAAGAAAAAAGGAATAGAAAATTAATGAACAAAATAGAGAAGAAAACGGTAACCGAAACAAAACTGTTCATTAGTTCAAGGAGATTTATGATTGTATCCGTTACAGATTGATCTGAGTCGGGATGTCGTTGAAAAATGGAAAGTATTGAACAGTTGTTTCTAATCAGTAAGTGCTTATATGGAATGTGCACTAACGAGATATGGGTTTGATCTCGGTTCTAAGATACATCATACTTGGATGAAACGGTAATCCAATACTCTTTGGTTTTTAAGTAGTACTCTATCTGAGACCAATTTCGACACGAATACTGCCGATAACCAAAAAAGCGTTATTGATGAATAAAATTACTAGAACCTGTTAAAGTGATTACAGGATTGTTCAATTTTTGTTAATAATCCTGAGATCTTTCTCATATTATTGAAGGAGTATAATCCAGAGAAATAAACTTGACAAGAAAAAGAATAATCATTTAAACCATCTCAAGTTGTTTTTGACACATCCCATTCAAGGATAATGGAGAAAGGTTTGAGCTTAAATCCATACATACGTGATGGTAATTAATTTCTCTAAGCTGGATACTTTGATTACTTATCTATGATTTTCGTTCTAGATTACAACATCCTTATAGACTACCACTACAAACGGTTGTTCAATATTCACTGCAATCATCAATTGTTGCCATTGTTATGTTACTTAGACGAGGACAATAAGTAAAAGTAGAGAAGGCATTGATGGCACAGTCCAGAACAACAATGAAAGCTCCACAATGAACTCATCTAATTGACAACATATTACATCATCATAAAAACACATAGTGATTTGCGACATGTACATGAACAATCGTGTGTTAATTGTACAAAACACAAAATAATATGTTAAATATATGAACCAATCAGGGCATTTGAGTTGTTGAACTATGAGTGAGAAACGAAGAACGAATAAATGTTTTTGGATATGTAAAACACTAAGTGGAAAGTTGTTTAGTTAGTAAGTGCGATACATTAGAAATCGATAAATCGATTTATTTTCCAAAGAATTCAAAAATTATCCAATAATTAGTCTATATTCAATTTAAAAGTCTGATTGTTCAGATCATAATTTGGATTTCCAATGAGTTTTACAAGCCCAGACATTTCTCATTCAGAAGCTGTACAGATATTGAATGCAGTATGAGCTAGAAATTCAGTGTTGTTTCATCTCAAGAGAAATGATTTCATTAAAGTATGAACTATTTTAGTACTCGAAAAATTGACTGATAATGTAAATATTAAGCTCTGACATAACTTCGGTTCAATTCATTTGTCAGGTACAGACAAATTTATGTACCTGATTCCAAGAGATCATTACGCCAAACAGTTGTTCGGCGTAGGGTTCGAGCTTAATAATTCAGAGATGAAAATGGAACTCAATAACCACTGGATCGTCTGATTCACCACATGGTAATATCGAAGCAATCTGCACACGATGCAAATATACCAAAGAGACTGATCAATTGTAAACGTGAATATCAATGGGACGATTCAAAAAACCAATACAAATGAATTTGAATTCATCACGAGCAACCACCATACACTATGAATTCATGAGGGTAGTGTAGATTGTTGTATTTTTTTGTTGTCAAAAATGTTTCTACGAATTCTCATACAAACAGGTACTATGATAAATTAAAACCAAACCTAAACAAAGTCTACAGAATAAAATCAGTTTATCATTTTAATTCACAGTTTCTCATCAACCGAACGAAATCTAAAATCACAATTAATAATGATAATTATTAAAGATTCCCATTGAAAATTAGAACAACATATATAAGTGAACAATATTGTTGCCTTGATTGGTTAAACATTTTCGTATATATATTCATGTATATTAGAGTAAAGCCTGATGACGATCTAATCGAAAACAATATTGTTCGCTTATAAGTGTTGTTCTAATGATAATTATTAACAAATATTTAACATACTCTCGTCTGTCAAGTTAAGTTAAATGCACGAAGCGTAATCAAAATCAAATTGATAAGAAGTTAGGGATAGGTGTATGAATAAACAAAGTTAAAAATGACGTGTATTTATGTGTTGGAAAGTGTGAATACAGAGTAGAATAGGTATGATAGGTAGCCGTAAACTTAATCAAGATTTAAAAATAGGAGAGATTAAGCAAAGGTAATTAAATTAATAAGTGATTGAGCAGTTGCGTAGCATGAGAAAATAAACAAATATGTGGACAACGATAAGATTATGTAAGAGTTGAATATCAGGAGACGAAAGATTAAAAGTTAGTAGATAAATATTCAATTATCATAACAAGAAAAGGCTAGTCACAATATCCTTCTATATATACATAGGTCAGGTGGCAAACGTTCGATAGTGATAGCCTCTGTAAAACGGACACTTGCATTCACTAAATGTCCACTTCTGTCTCTCTTATATACTTGCTACCGTAAATTCATATATGCGATTGGAGGATGTCAGAAAGATAGGAATCTACCTTTAAAAAGTATAAGGAACAGTTAGTGTTGTATGGTAAAACCAATTGAGTAGCAGGTAAGCTTCTTTTCAATTATGCCTTGATTGTCTCATTAAATCTTGCTGAAACTTGATCTCCTTTAAACGATAGACGGATGAAAACAGAACTTTTTACTAACAGTGAGTTGTTTATCATCATTGGAATGTTCTCTGGTGTATTTTGTAATTAATTCCTTCGAGTATTCAATTTTTTATCAGGTGTTTTTCTAGAATAGCCAATTCCTGATTTATTTTTACCCTTTGGCCATAATACTCTAGTTCAATTAAAAAGAATTTTCACAAGAAATCATATAAAACTAATAAGGATTTTGTGCAACCTCACCAAATAGCTTTGGTAATTACTAACAACACCTAACAAGGTTGAACTCCACCAGTAACGTCTTTTCACTAGAACTAGAATTTCCTCACGAAGCTATTCCCTAGTGAGCACATTTTATATTCCACTACAAACGTTATGTTTTTAAATGAGAGTTGTTGACATTTTTTATATATGCTACTCAAGTGAATTAGAGTGTAAACGAAATTTTTAACTACAAATATGATTTGTTGGTTAGCGATCACAAGTGTGAATCAAAGGTTCAATATCGATCGGAAAAATAAGCTCATATGTAGCTTGTTGATTTTTATCTCAGACCAATACCACCACCTTCTCTATTCATGAACTGATTGTACAATAATTAAAAATGAAGCTTTAAACAATTTAAATGTTTGATTATTTTTTCAAAAAATAGAATATAACCATAAAGTTTGTAGAATAAAATGAAATTATTTTTTTTAATCGGAAACTTTTCATCAGCTGAAAAACACAATGAAGTTACAAACACCATTATTGTTATTACCATAATAATAGCTACTATTAATAAAGTTTTACATAACTTCAGTCAATGAAGTCGATTTAAATGGAGCGATGGAGCAGATGCATCCATTCTTTGTCTTCCCTCAAATTCTAATCTTCGGATTTCACTATGACCTTTAATCTCTTTTTTAAATTTACCTCACTCGATATACTTCTTGAATCATATTTTCGAAACTTAATCTTTCCACTACGGCTAATAGTTCTACTATCTCTACTACTATGAGATTTGAATCGAAAATTAGATTTCAAGAAATCTAATTTTCGATTCAAATCTCATAGTAGTAGAGATAGTAGAACTATTAGCCGTAGTGGAAAGATTAAGTTTCGAAAATATGATTCAAGAAGTATATCGAGTGAGGTAAATTTAAAAAAGAGATTAAAGGTCATAGTGAAATCCGAAGATTAGAATTTGAGGGAAGACAAAGAATGGATGCATCTGCTCCATCGCTCCATTTAAATCGACTTCATTGACTGAAGTTATGTAAAACTTTATTAATAGTAGCTATTATTATGGTAATAACAATAATGGTGTTTGTAACTTCATTGTGTTTTTCAGCTGATGAAAAGTTTCCGATTAAAAAAAATAATTTCATTTTATTCTACAAACTTTATGGTTATATTCTATTTTTTGAAAAAATAATCAAACATTTAAATTGTTTAAAGCTTCATTTTTAATTATTGTACAATCAGTTCATGAATAGAGAAGGTTGGTGGTATTGGTCTGAGATAAAATCACAAGCTACATATGAGCTTATTTTTCCGATCGATATTGAACCTTTGATTCACACTTGTGATCGCTAACCAACAAATCATATTTGTAGTTAAAAATTTCGTTTACACTCTAATTCACTTGAGTAGCATATATAAAAAATGTCAACAACTCTCATTTAAAAACATAACGTTTGTAGTGGAATATAAAATGTGCTCACTAGGGAATAGCTTCGTGAGGAAATTCTAGTTCTAGTGAAAAGACGTTACTGGTGGAGTTCAACCTTGTTAGGGTGTTGTTAGTAATTACCAAAGCTATTTGGTAAGGTTGCACAAAATCCTTATTAGTTTTATATGATTTCTTGTGAAAATTCTTTTTAATTGAACTAGAGTATTATGGCCAAAGGGTAAAAATAAATCAGGAATTGGCTATTCTAGAAAAACACCTGATAAAAAATTGAATACTCGAAGGAATTAATTACAAAATACACCAGAGAACATTCCAATGATGATAAACAACTCACTGTTAGTAAAAAGTTCTGTTTTCATCCGTCTATCGTTTAAAGGAGATCAAGTTTCAGCAAGATTAATGAGACAATCAAGGCATAATTGAAAAGAAGCTTACCTGCTACTCAATTGGTTTTACCATACAACACTAACTGTTCCTTATACTTTTTAAAGGTAGATTCCTATCTTTCTGACATCCTCCAATCGCATATATGAATTTACGGTAGCAAGTATATAAGAGAGACAGAAGTGGACATTTAGTGAATGCAAGTGTCCGTTTTACAGAGGCTATCACTATCGAACGTTTGCCACCTGACCTATGTATATATAGAAGGATATTGTGACTAGCCTTTTCTTGTTATGATAATTGAATATTTATCTACTAACTTTTAATCTTTCGTCTCCTGATATTCAACTCTTACATAATCTTATCGTTGTCCACATATTTGTTTATTTTCTCATGCTACGCAACTGCTCAATCACTTATTAATTTAATTACCTTTGCTTAATCTCTCCTATTTTTAAATCTTGATTAAGTTTACGGCTACCTATCATACCTATTCTACTCTGTATTCACACTTTCCAACACATAAATACACGTCATTTTTAACTTTGTTTATTCATACACCTTCTGTCCCTTAACTTCTTATCAATTTGATTTTGATTACGCTTCGTGCATTTAACTTAACTTGACAGACGAGAGTATGTTAAATATTTGTTAATAATTATCATTAGAACAACACTTATAAGCGAACAATATTGTTTTCGATTAGATCGTCATCAGGCTTTACTCTAATATACATGAATATATATACGAAAATGTTTAACCAATCAAGGCAACAATATTGTTCACTTATATATGTTGTTCTAATTTTCAATGGGAATCTTTAATAATTATCATTATTAATTGTGATTTTAGATTTCGTTCGGTTGATGAGAAACTGTGAATTAAAATGATAAACTGATTTTATTCTGTAGACTTTGTTTAGGTTTGGTTTTAATTTATCATAGTACCTGTTTGTATGAGAATTCGTAGAAACATTTTTGACAACAAAAAAATACAACAATCTACACTACCCTCATGAATTCATAGTGTATGGTGGTTGCTCGTGATGAATTCAAATTCATTTGTATTGGTTTTTTGAATCGTCCCATTGATATTCACGTTTACAATTGATCAGTCTCTTTGGTATATTTGCATCGTGTGCAGATTGCTTCGATATTACCATGTGGTGAATCAGACGATCCAGTGGTTATTGAGTTCCATTTTCATCTCTGAATTATTAAGCTCGAACCCTACGCCGAACAACTGTTTGGCGTAATGATCTCTTGGAATCAGGTACATAAATTTGTCTGTACCTGACAAATGAATTGAACCGAAGTTATGTCAGAGCTTAATATTTACATTATCAGTCAATTTTTCGAGTACTAAAATAGTTCATACTTTAATGAAATCATTTCTCTTGAGATGAAACAACACTGAATTTCTAGCTCATACTGCATTCAATATCTGTACAGCTTCTGAATGAGAAATGTCTGGGCTTGTAAAACTCATTGGAAATCCAAATTATGATCTGAACAATCAGACTTTTAAATTGAATATAGACTAATTATTGGATAATTTTTGAATTCTTTGGAAAATAAATCGATTTATCGATTTCTAATGTTCGCACTTACTAACTAAACAACTTTCCACTTAGTGTTTTACATATCAAAAACATTTATTCGTTCTTCGTTTCTCATCATAGTTCAACAACTCAAATGCCCTGATTGGTTCATATATTTAACATATTATTTTGTGTTTTGTACAATTAACACACGATTGTTCATGTACATGTCGCAAATCACTATGTGTTTTTATGATGATGTAATATGTTGTCAATTAGATGAGTTCATTGTGGAGCTTTCATTGTTGTTCTGGACTGTGCCATCAATGCCTTCTCTACTTTTACTTATTGTCCTCGTCTAAGTAACATAACAATGGCAACAATTGATGATTGCAGTGAATATTGAACAACCGTTTGTAGTGGTAGTCTATAAGGATGTTGTAATCTAGAACGAAAATCATAGATAAGTAATCAAAGTATCCAGCTTAGAGAAATTAATTACCATCACGTATGTATGGATTTAAGCTCAAACCTTTCTCCATTATCCTTGAATGGGATGTGTCAAAAACAACTTGAGATGGTTTAAATGATTATTCTTTTTCTTGTCAAGTTTATTTCTCTGGATTATACTCCTTCAATAATATGAGAAAGATCTCAGGATTATTAACAAAAATTGAACAATCCTGTAATCACTTTAACAGGTTCTAGTAATTTTATTCATCAATAACGCTTTTTTGGTTATCGGCAGTATTCGTGTCGAAATTGGTCTCAGATAGAGTACTACTTAAAAACCAAAGAGTATTGGATTACCGTTTCATCCAAGTATGATGTATCTTAGAACCGAGATCAAACCCATATCTCGTTAGTGCACATTCCATATAAGCACTTACTGATTAGAAACAACTGTTCAATACTTTCCATTTTTCAACGACATCCCGACTCAGATCAATCTGTAACGGATACAATCATAAATCTCCTTGAACTAATGAACAGTTTTGTTTCGGTTACCGTTTTCTTCTCTATTTTGTTCATTAATTTTCTATTCCTTTTTCTTTCCTGTCATACATTATTCATTTGTTTAGCCGTTTGATGTTAACAACAATGACAATGCGAAAACAAAAGCGAATAAAGATAACCTTATTCATCCAAGTGTAAATTCAATAAATACTACTGTACAAAATTTCAGTTGTTTCACTTCAGCATTTATTCATCCTAATGACAATATGCGATATTTACTAGCTGGTACTATCCATGGACAATTATTAGCTTGGTGTATCAAATCAGATTCATTCAAGTTGAATATTGTCGACCAACAAGAAAAACAAATGTTATTAAATGATTCAATAGTGAAAAGTAGTGTTCTTTTATTGTTTTTAAAAATAATGATATATTCTTATAATGTGCTTTAATGATTTGTGATTAGTATTTGTTCGATTTCTATTGATCTCATAAATATACTACTCACTTACTTACGTATGTTACCTTTAATGGATGATTTGCTACTGACCAGCATTCTCCAACTAACTCTGACCCGGACTTTCCTGTCCAGTTCTATACATTTGCTGTTCATTCTTTTCATGTCTGTTTCAGATTCTCGGCACAGTGTGTTCCTTGGTCTACCCCTTTCCCTTTGGCCCTAAGAGCTCCAAGTTGGGGCTTGCCTCGTGATACAGTTGGTTGATATATATATATATATATATATAAACGGTCCATGAAAGAACATTGTCATTTCATACAGTTGTGTTAATATTTAGTTTACTCATGGTGTCTATGATAAATTAGAGAATTATTGTTTCATTAGATGTTTGGAAGTGATTGACAATAATTTCTGCTTGATCTAGATTTCATGCTATTCGGTACTCTTCAATGAGGTGTACTTGTAATCTTCTTGTAACTAGTGCTATGTGACACATTTAATCTATTGTTATCTGGCTTCACAGTTTGAATCGTTACTATTGCATTATTACTACAGGACTTGTAGGACTGAGATATTGTAAAGTGTAGTTCTTTTGGTGTTGTCTGAATCCGATTGATTGATTGCATATGTCATGTATCGTTGTTTCATTATGAAAGATATCTTCACAAAATGTTCTGCTTTCGATTAAAGTTATTTCATACTTGAAGGATGATATAAATGAATATTATATGTGAAAGAAAATTGGTCAACTCGATGAATATAAGCAAGATAAAGAGTAAAATAAACAACATAAGAAATGGTGAATTGTTAGGAGTATGATGATTCAAGGCATTAGATATACTGCCTATGAACATAAATTTTTTCAACTTACTGTGCAGTCAGTTTGTTTGACTTCTTCAATAATTTTGAATGGAGATTCTAAAGTCAATAAGAAGATAGATGGCTCAAATTGATCACATATTCAACAGTACTACTATTAACTGACTTGCTTTCATTTTTTATATGAAAATAGGCTGGATGAGTTGTATTCGGATATAAATTTAGGAAGAGTATACTTTATAATGTCAATATAAGATACTGTACAGATGCTAGTAAACTAAATAGTAGGTAGATGTACATCAGTGTAACTTAAAGCGGCAGTTTGTCTTGCATATATATTCTTGAGTCACAAGTATCTATCTAGCAGCGAGTACAATTTGTGATTTAATTGAACAGAATTGCTCTCACAACAGTCGGTTTTCTTTTTTTTCTAAAGATGATTGTGTGTCAGTAAGTGATAAACACTTTTTTATAAGCAGATAATTTATGCAGGTCTGTTCAGATCGAACATAACTGACTTCTCATTGTAAAATAATACCAATTAAAATCGAAGGAGAAATTAAAAAAGAAACGATGTGTCATCCTCTTTGTTTGTAGTAGGATGAATATTATATAGGCATTCGAATCAGTATTTTACTAGATTTCTACATAGTGTAGTGCTCATCATATCATGTGCTTCTTTTCAATTTTCGATATTAGTTATTAAGGAGGGGATATAATATTTAGGTTTGTTTATTGGTCATGCGTAATATATACTGTTCTGATGAATAGTGATGATTTGCATCTTATCGGGCATCCGGGAAGGGTACATCCACCCTCATACCCATAGAAGCAAACGAGACCAAATTGGTCACAATCCTTTCTACACCTAATAATTCTCTTATCTCCTCGACCAACTCTTCCTTCGATCGCTTTTCACCTTGCGCCACTGAAGCGAACACTTTGAGCTCACGAAACGTTATTCCTGATCTCTTGAAACCCCGCTCTAAACTACATATTGCAGCTTTTAATGTTCGTACCTTGTGCCAAATAGGACAACACGCTTCATTAGCGAGGACTCCATGCAATCGATTTATGTTGTGTCTCCGAAAAGCGCATACCACATCCGAGTAAAATCATCAATTTGATTTCACCTTGCGCAGGTACAGAATTATCTCCGTTTACGCTTCGTGTATCTGGAATCCCTGTTGCTGCTTCCCGTGGCCTCTCTAGTGTAGGTATAGAATTAATTCCTAGGGCAGAACTATCCCTCCTAGACTGGATCCCGTTAGACAGTCGCTTATGCGCTGTCCGACCAAACGGGACAATTAGGATTCAGAAAGGAAGGGATACTCACCGTTGCATCTTTGTCCTATCTGCTCACACTGGCTGCAGTTCAGACGAGGTGAACAATCAGTCTTATTGAAAGCTTTTAGAACTCTTCCAAAAATTTAGGCGCTCTGATATAGTAATAGTGGCTGGTGACTTTAATGCTCAAGTAGGTAGACTATGTGAAGAGGAAGGACACCAGGGTGGATCCGATGGTGTCGTGGTTCTGATAATCGCCTATTTCTAGCAAACACTAACTTCTAGCATAAGAAAAAACATTTCTTGATATGGTGACCACCAGAGCCGACCCAACGATTGACCCAACTAGATGATATCGCTATATGCTTTCGGTGCAGAGGCTCTATTAAAGACTGCCGCTCATTCTGTAGCACTTGTTTAAATTCAGATCATGCTATAGTGCGAGCGCGTATTAGTTTGCGTCTTACTGGAAGTAAGAAAAATATCGCAAGAAAACTTCTTAGGGCTCTACTTAATGATAATATACCTAAGAATATATTTCAGGAACCAATCGAAAACAAGTTAGGCTGCCCTGTCAAGTCGTGTCAGAGGAAAGCGGTTTAGCATGCATCCCGCACATTAACCCCGTCAGAAAAGAAGTTCAGCCAGATAGAGAAAGAGGCTCATGCCGTTGTTAAACCATGTCGTCAGGGTGAAAGCCGTTTATTTCAGTAGCATCTACGGGACTGATGGCTGCTCGAAAACTCAGCCCGCCTCGCTCTGAACATGACGAAGAGCGAAGTCAACTTAGGCGCAATCTGATAAAAAGCCTACGCAATGATCGCGAACAGTAGATAGTAGATAGCGAAATGAAGAGCGATGGAAAAGGCAACGGTGATAGGCAACAGTAGACAGATGTTTCGACTTATCAAGGAGACCGGTATTAGGAATCCTACTGTAAGTAAGACTCTTTCGGAAAAGTATGCGACTATCAGTCATTCACAATCCAGAAGATTGGATCGATGGGCAGAACACTTCAGGGATCAGTTCAACTGGCCTTCAGCTACGCTTCGTTTGCCCAGCATCTCCAATCATGCTGAATGGCAAATCGATGTAAGTTGTCCAACTCTTTATTAAGCAATAGGAAATCTGCAGCGTGGGAGAGCAACGGGTCCAGATAGATTGACTCCTGGGATTTTTAAGGATGGTGTCCCAGCTTTAGCAGTTAGATTGACTGAAATCTTAGGTAGAATCTGGAAACTGGACGTAATCCCGTCTAACCGGTCTCAATCACTGATTGTCTCAATTTATAAGATAGGACAAAAGTCCTCTTGTGACAATCGAAGAGGAATCAGTCTAACTAATATGATTTTTATATTGTTAGACTCGATTATATTTAGATGCCTTTTAAGTTTATTTAAGTATTTAAATATTTTCTCCGATTACTGCTAGTACCATTATCACCTCTACTACTATGGGATTTGAATTGACAATTACATGTCCGTGCTTATGTGGTATGGCAACATGAACTATGTACGTACGTACGTTCTACGTTGCCCTTGTTGATGATGACTGTAGAAAAGTGTAAGTATGATTGTAAAGCATAATAACCTCAGCTGTGCAATCAATCCTCCTAAAAGATCGATGATGTTATAAACTTGAAATGCGTTTGGTTATTAATAAAGTATTCCAAATTCTCTATGTAAATCAACCTCAATGTATGTGGGTTTTTTGGGCTTCTGATATCAATGTTAAAGATTCTTAATCAGGATTTCAAGCTTTTAAAAAATATCCTGTGCATAATTCTGATTGAATCTCTGGTAAATATCGCATTTTATTTGTATTTTTTATCAAAGATGCTAACAAAAGATGAAAACTATTCAACGAACTGAATATTCTTTTCAAAAATATCTGTTAATTAAGCTGTACAGTCGTATAGCTACAATTTACATATGTTTGTTTATATTAAAGTAGATAAATATTATCTCGTTTAACAAACTTCTCAAAAATGATAGGTAAAGAATTTTTTAAATATGAAAATGTCCCTACTCACAACCTTAGATTCTAGCGGAGGAAGAAATCAGCAAGAAGAGCTAGAGGTGGATAGGACCCACATTGGCAAAAGCAGTCATCCATCTAACTTATCATATCCAGATAAATAACTCTGCTGTAATAGTTTATTGTTAAAAGTGTAGTTGACTGTGACTCATAGTTGATCAGTTCACTTATAACTCCTGATATCAGTGACCGTAGTGGGTTGTATCCAGCTGATCGTGCTGACACCATTCAATCTCTCACTATATATATATATATCTTTTTATACATTGTAGGTGTTCCTATTACGCCTCCAACAACATTTAGTGATCTACATGATGTATGGAAAAAGCATACATTACCTAATATAGCCATGTTTCTGACGGTGAGTGGTATGCTTATTTTATTTTCCATTTGTATTCTATGTCTGGCACTTGTTTTGAAATCATTAAAAAATCTTTAATTAAAGTAAAGTAACCTTGATCGATTCATGATTTCAGTGAAATCTCTTTTCACAGTTAGCCACTCTAATGGGACACGATAGGCCATTGGATTTAGATTACATGAGTTAGCTATCTTTCGTCTTTGCCATGAAAATTCCTAAATGTCTGGGATTTGATGATATATATATATATAGTCCTTCTGACTCACACAATGACTTATAGACTCGAATAAAAGCATAATTGATTTCCTCCAAAAATATTTTTCGTTTGTAATTTTCACATCTAACATTTAACTCTAAGATGGCATGGCATGTGGACATTTTAATGTGTATATCAATATTCACTCAACCTATCATAAATCTATTGATAATGAAATGAAGTCAACAACTGGTCAATCAGGCGTACTTTTCTTTCTTTAATCTTTTTTTAGATCGACAATCTTAATTGATAAATATTTGAATTTAGTTTACGAAATGAGAAATCTTAATTAGTGTCTAATTTTATGGTCAGCATTGGTTTATGCATCGGTATATATCTGTAGCGTTAATTAGGGCAGCATTTAATAGTTATGATATTTGTTGATTGTTAGAAGAACGTTATCAGAATATTGTCCCAATTGTTGCATGAAATGAAGTAGTGAACATTCAATCAGTGATTTCTAGAATATGTACCACACTTCACTTCACATACACACTAAAGTTTAGCGCAGACAAACTATGATGTATGATTTGTTCATGAATTTGTTGACTATTGTACAGACTTGGTTAGGGTCAGCTTATTAATTGTGGTTAGTTGCTGGAGATATGGAATGATATGGCACAGATGAATTTTGAGTTCATCTATACATAATTTTTCTACAGAAAACCCTAGACTTAATTTTCGTGCCTTTTGGCATTTGTCAGCAAAGCGCACTTGTAGTCTTGAGATAACCAACGTACTCTACGGGGTTTTAACCAACAAGTATGCCTTTTCATTTCAGTAGTATTTTTATTGATTCTTTTTTATTCTCTCTTTAAATCTCTTAGAGTTCTTTTGCAGACTCAAAATATCATTCAAATTTAATTAACCCCATTCGTTCATCACTGGACGATTCACCGACAAGTTCCACAGTAGCCAATCAAATATTATGTAGTGGTAATACTAATACTAACAATAATCATAATGTAAGCGTAACAGTGTGTATACAAATTAATCAAATGCTCTCTTATCAACAACCTATTCAAAGTTCATCGCCTACAATTCATCCATATCGTTTAGCTTTTGGTTTATCCAATGGGTGCATTATCATTGTTCGTATGGCAGATTTTTTAAAAACAATCTATTGGCACCAACATGATGATGCCGACAACTCAAATGAACAATTATCAATGGAACATCATAATCGATTGTCCAAATTTTGTTTAAGCGGTCATATTGGCCCTGTGACAAGTTTATTACATCCGGCTAGTTGTGAAAGGCAATTATATCCATCAACATCACCATCATCAAATGATTCGATTTCAGTGAATTACACTAATAATGGAGATAATATAACTACTACTACTAACAATAATATCAGTAGTACAATTACAGATTATCAATTCAATCCAGATTATTTATTATCTGGTGGAATGGATTTTACTGTTCGCCTATGGGATCTAAATCCATGGCACGAATCTCCTGATAATAGTAATATTAGTAGTAGCAGTAGAAAATCTTTAGGCAATAATTATCAAAAATCATTGTGTTTAGCTACATTCCGATGTCATGCTTCACCTTGTATTGGTCTAACTATATGTCCCCCTATTTCATCTGTCATCAATATGGTTGCTGGGAATCCGAGACTTTCGGTCAGTCGTTTTCATTATATGTTCAATGTCTGACATTTGTTAACCATAAAATTACTTTTATTACCGTATTTTTTTAATTTGTTAGTGCACTAATTATCTAACTCACCATGTATAGTCTTGTGTGTGCCTGTGTGTATGAAGTGATTGCTCAGCAGTTTAAGCGTTCATTTTCCAATCATCCGGATGTTCTAAATCCCACTTCATCTCTTTGGGTCTGAGGATTTACTATTTTAATGCTTGACCATTTAATCGTCAAAGTACACAAATTTCGACTATTGAGTTATGGATTCGACTCATATTGCAGTTTAATCTGTTACTTAACAACACTAATAATCTCGAAAAGTGTTCTAACGTAGAACTCTTCATATTTATTACCGTTTATATTCATCTTTATCCATGAGAATATTTCTGATAATATAAAATATACGGTATTTACAATGATTTTTAATCATAATACCATTATGTTTATGTTGAACGCAGAGTTGGTGAGAGGTCATCAAACAAAATCAATTCATGTCATTCTATTGCGTTTATTGTTCTTGATCTATTCAAATTCAACTTCAAATACACAATAAGCCTAGGCTTGATAAATGAAATTTGAAATGTGTATGTAACATGTGCATGTAAGTATTTAAAATTGATCATAAGTTAGACATTCACACCGTTGGATACCGGTTCAATCGTCTAGGGATTCAGTGTTCGTGCGTGAGGCCGAAGATCCTGGGTCCGATTTCTGTCTAAGGGATCGTGGATGCGCACTGTTGAAGAGTCCCATACTAAGACTTGACGGACGTGCATTTCTTCCAGGTTTTTAATGGTTGTCTAACAATGATCGATTCACGATTTCAATGTTACAATTAAGTGTCTTCAACTCTCTCTCTTTTTTTTTGCTTTGCTGTTAAAAAAATTAAGACAGCCTTTTTTCATCAGAATCATGGAGTTTATGTACACCATTATTCCAAAATCGGGGTTTTCCAATGCGCCCTTAGGTGGATCTAACTTGGTTTCATCTCCCGTCGAACATTCGCCTTAGTTTTCTTGATTTCGCATACAACATCCCCACCATGAGAAGATAGTAAGTAGGACTTTCTTAGCAAAAGTTATATACCTTGAGAGTAAACTCTCCCGCTATCCACCGTACTAGGTTATTTGAGTGTGTACTCTGATTGATTTAAGTGTAATAATTGTATTCGTCAGCACTGTATAATTAACGTAATTACAAATGAGTTTTTCAATACTTTAACTGAATACCATCCATTATTAATTCGTTTTCTTATTTTACTGTTAAATGTTTATCTATCGCTTGTTCTCTTATCTCAATTTTTTTTATTTTATCCAGGCATCTATATGTTCATTCGGTGCAGATGGTTCGGTTTGGTTAATTAATTTAAAAGAAAAACGTCCTTTTCTTTACGCTCGTAATACAAGTGATTTATCTTCATGTCCAGTTGTAGCTATTGGTTGGAGATTAGCTGAAGATCTTTTGTTTATTGATTATTTAGATGGTACAGTGACAGTATGGGATATAAGTATGGGCTGCTTAGAACGGTATGCATTATTCAAAAGTCTTTTTCTTTTCATTCTATGAAAGTCAGGCTATTAGCTCTAAATGTAACAATCTTCAAAATAGCTAATAACTGTGTAGTAGATTGTATTCATCAAACTGAACGCAGCAGGGTGCTGTGGGTAGCTTTTTTTTAAATATAGAACTCTTCAGTATTGTGTACTGTAACGACTCTACCAGGGACCAAATGTAAGATCTGCAGGTCCGATAGAAATCTCTATGTAATCATTACTCAGTGGTTTACACATTTCCAAGTTCAGTTAGCATTTATGTAGAATTTGACGAGATATTGTTTCAAACTCATCAACAATAAGCGATATGAAAGCTTCTAAATGGGATAATACCGTAATCCCCAAGACCTCTAGTAGCGTTCGCCCGGACTATCAGCTTTATCCATTCTCATTCAACTTTGTCACAGACGTGCTGATACAGATAACACTATCTTCGTATGAGCTTTCAGGAGTGGACCTTCTACCAGGAGACTCACTTGTCGACTTAGATTATGACGAAGACATAGTTCTACTTGGTGAAAACACTGACGAAATGCAGAGTCTTCTGGCTACCCTAAGCAAAAATGCATGCATATTCGGTATGCGGTTTTCCTCCTCGAAATGCAAAATGTTGCTTCAAGATTGGGTTGCATCAGCACCTGAACTAGTGATAGAGAGTGAAGTAATCGGGCGTGTCAACCGCTTCACTTATCTTGGGAGTCTGATCAGCGCTGATGGCCTGGTGACTGACGAAATCTCAGCATGGATACAGAAGGTTCGATTGGCTTTTGCCTACCTGTGTCACTTATGGCGCAGGCGTGATATCCAAAGGTGCAGCAGTTCGCTCTGTCCTACTGTCCGGATGCGAAACATGGCCGTTAAGAGTCGAGGACTTTCGTAGTTTACTGGTTTTCGATCATCGATGTCTCCGAATCATTGCTCGTTTATCCTGGGACAACCGAGTAAGCAATGGAGTCGTTAGGAAATGGGTACTAGGTAAGTATATGAGGTCAATAGATGAAGTATTGAAACTTCATCAGTTGAGGTGGTCGGGACATGTGTTACCAATGCCTAAACACTGACTGCCTCGTCGAGCTATGTTTTGTGTTGTAGGAGTAGGTTGGAAGAGAGCTAGGAGCAGCCAGACAGAAACATGGCAGAAATCCACAAAGTCATTGACAAGGGGACTGAGCTATGTTAATTGGTGTAGACTAACTAGTTAGGGTTGGTGAGACAATATTAACCGATGGAATAGGTCTAGGAGTTCTTTCTACTTTTCTTAATTACTCTCTCCTTTTCAAAATTTTGTTTTCCACTTTCTAGTGTTGAAACGGAACAATCCGCTAGAGATTTATTCGAACAAGCTCAATTCATCACGGAAGTCTATCATCCATCAACATATTTAGGCTTTACATTTTCCACTTTACCATCCATAACAATGTCATCTTATAAATCAAGATCATTAACTGGTGTACCGAATCAATACCCAATTTATACATCATTAGCTATACCATTCTGTGGTGGTGTGAATTCAACTTCTTCATCTGGTACCGTGCATTTTACTGCACCTAGTCGATTAAAGTACACTACAGTGGATGATTTACAAAAACTGTGCACAAATAGTTTACCACCTGTACAATTGCATTTAATTGGTGCTACAACAGCAAGTAATCAGCATACAACGATGATAAATGCTGAAAATCAATCAACATGGAATTCCGGTCCAGCTGCATTTATTTTTCATTGGGATATTCAGTCACTTATTGGTACGTTATTGTTTAAATTATAATCGGTTTGATGTTTTTGGCATCTAGTGCAGTTTCATCCCAACCGCAAGAATTTTTCTAATTTTTTAAATAAACGAATGGGAAGACAGTTTACTAGCCAAAATGTGTGTACACCTTGTGTCCAAACTTCGGTTTGCAAAACAAGCGGATTATTGTTTATTTCCCCCCTCCCTCACATATCTTCTAATCTTTAAAGCACTTTGATCGTACCATACATGCGGATTGGAAACGCTTCACTTAGTCAGTGACTTGAGGGTGACACTCTGCTGCATGACAACCGCACACTAATGATCAACCACTTTGTGAGTAGTGCACACTGCATAAGTTTATTACTTACTCTACTTATCACAACTTATCTTTTACTGCCTTAACATCAATTTAGACTTATATAAGCTTGGTAAAATTTAATAACTTGAGATGCCTTTTTCCATGCTACATTATTTACTGTTCGTCTTTATGGACAAATATCTAATGCAAATTTTCTCAAATCAACTCATATTTAGCTTTTCTTATCCTTGTTGTTTAAACAGAATTATTTTTAGTTCCTAAAGAAATCATTATCAACCATGTAGATAGCACTAGGTTTTTTAAATTATGTGCAGTCATATTTAGATTATCTCAAGAATAAATCTGAATAGGATTTAAATGTCAACTGAGTGACTTACCATATAAATTAGATGAAAACATAATCGCTAGGCTCAACTGAGTAATATTGGAACTAGAAGGGTTACTAAGACGGTTGGGGTCCTCATTGTTAGGGGGAATCCGTTTTTCTAACGGGCGGAGTTACTCAAAGTCCGATATTAGCGCATACAAAGGTGATGCGGCATGGATTTTGAATGTCCTTATCTATTCGGAAGACGGACTGAGAGCGTCCTGGAACGCTAAGATTCAGAAATACGAGCGACTAGATTTGAATAGTTTGTACCTATGGATTGTGAATGACTTAGGCCGTTCAACATGTATGGTTCAGTATCTGCCTGTAGTTATAACCATGGGATGTTTACTGGATAGGAGGTTAGAGACTAATCAGAAACGCACAATTGCACTGCGATAAGAACATACGATTATTGGCTCATCGATCCATTAAGATGCATATATGTCACAATACCTTGAGGACGACCATAACTAATGTAAGCACGAAGTGCCGACGTCTTAGGTTGGACAACCGAAACTAAATGGAAATGAGAGGTAGGCAACATTACGAGTGAAGCCTGTGGTTAGCATCTGCAAACACCTAGAAGCGGGGATAATGACGTCTATTTTAGTTCGATGCTGGTCTATCAACTAGGGAAGTAGCCGTACAGGAGTCATGCTATACAATATTCGACTCTGTGTGCTTCCCACTTGGCGCTTTACCTGTCTGTGTAGTGTCTGATCAAACTACCTGTACTGTGACTAGTGAGAAGCCTGTAGTGTATATCTGGATGATGGTGTTATCATGTTTCTTGAGTTAGTTAGATTAGTTGATTAATTATGGAGCTTACATTACTGTTTTGAACAACACTATCAGTGTCTTATTTATGTACAGAAGTGAAGTAGGCAGAGTTGATAACTGTCCCAAATGCTGAGTAACTCTTTATCAGAGCAATCTAACTCAGAAAGCGTAATGTCATCAAAAATGTATTTGTTTTTACCTTCTACCTTTTTATTTAATTCTTATCCTTTTAATTTTTTTATATTTCTATTTTGTTTTTCAGTTGATATTTTATCACAGAATTGTGAAGTTTCAAAGGATATTAATAACTTGGTATGATGATAATGATGAATGAATTTGTGTATATAAACTGGACATTTAATTTGTACTGGTATGGTGAACTCCTATGCGATGCGCGTTCACGGTCCTAGTGAAGATTGAACCTAGTACCTTCAGTTTTCACATTGAGCGATTAAACTTAAAATCAATGCGTTGGTATTTAATGGTTTATATGGTTCTTTTTAGATGCACTTTGATTGATTCCATATATATCTTTCTGTTAGCTATTTAAACATTCTTAGTAGCAAATTAGTTAGTGTAGTTTGCCAAATTTATGGTACATTAATTTCATTTCCATTAAAAAGGTTTTCATTTATGATATGATACCTGCCATATCTCTCGTGGAAGTCCTCAGAAGTCAAGTAGATGAATTGTATCACTATCTCCACATCGTCCTAGTACTGCCCCTTCATGAGCAATTTGCATTTTCATAGTGAAGTAGCTAAATTTGGTTGTTAGATTTCCAAAATATTTGTTAAAGATTCTATAATTTAAACTCTTATTTATCTGACCTACAAAGGAAGTGTTCTCATACTGAAATGTAATCAGTTCCTTCTTCGTTTTCATTGACTGTCTGGCTTAAGTTGGTTCATGATTTCAGTGAAAATCAACCAACTCCATAGCCCCATACTGACATAATTGAGGATTTGATGCGCTCAACACTCTGTGATTGAATCATTTTTCATCGTGATTTTAAACGTTTTGAACACCATACAAAGGCATTTGTACTACACGTTGTACATGATATTTAAATTTTGCGCGTAACCTTAGAAGTCGATCCTGATTGGCTTGTACCTAAAATACATTTTCATCACTTTTAGTTTTGCCTTGCTTCCGAAGTTCAATATTTGTTGCTACATATAAAGAATTCTTGCAGTAAAAATGTGCCTTCTTAATATAAAGGTTTTGCTGGTCTCCTGATTTTTCTTTGTATTCTGTTGTGTTGTGTTGCCAAAACCGAAGTGCATTTGGAACAAAGGGTGTTGTCTGTAACTTATGGGTGGAAATCCGAGTATTTCATCCGTTACTATTTTAACAGTTATCGTTAACTCATTTATCACATACAAATTTGTATACTTGACTTTGAATGAGACTGCAGTTATGAGTACTAGTGACATTACTATCCGGATTACTTTATCCGAATTGAATGGATCAGGATTCGAATTCATCAATTATTAACTGAAAGTTAAATGCCTTAAACAGTGAATTACATCATTCTAACTGTTTTCTCACTATTACTTATTATTGGTACATATGTGTTTTCTCAATATACATTATATTTTAATGAATAAGTACTATCACATTGCTGACTTCGTATCATTTTTTTCTTGTTAATGTTTATTCAAAAAAAAAAATTTTTTTACAGACAACGGCCACAGAAACAACATCAAACGCATCATCATTATCATCATCGACATCGTTCTATCGTGATGACATGTTCACAATGGATGTAACACAAGCAACTTTTCTACAAATTATTATTTCATTAATTCATCCATGGGGCATAGATTTGTCAATTGATAAAATTATTGAACAATTTTGTTTTAATCATCATCATCATCATCATCATCATCATACATCGATTGATAAGAATAAAATTAAAACAATGCTAATAAATAATCATCAACAACAATCATTATGTATACATGAATCAACATTGTGCATTGGTCTAATATCTAAATGTGGTTGTATGAGTTTAAGTATGCCTGGTAAGTAGATAGTTGAATGGTTACTTTTATTAAAATTTAAATGATAACAATGATGCTGGTGACAATCGCTATCTCATCCTTAGCTGATGAGGTGCAGTGTCTGGATGAGACTGTAGAAAATAAAATGAAATTATTTTATTTACTGATTTGTTCTTAAATGAAGAGTGTAATAATCATTGATTTGGAATTTCATGTAATTACAGATGTGCTTGACGATTATCAATTAACAAGAAATTTGAAGTTATAGGGTTTCTATTAGACTGTTGCAATTTTAGTGATAGAATTCAGTCAACATCAAAGGACTAAATAAAACTGACATTTCCAACCACTTAGTAACTAACCAATGTTGGTATGTATTTTTGATCTGAATAGCTCATTAATGGTCTCTGTGATTATGAAACTGACAGACTCGGGTTCGAATCCACCAGATTTCATCAGTTGCTGGTCGTTGCAAACCGCTAAACATAATTTTATTTCAACTGATTTATCGATTTCACTTAGTAAATGTATTCATAGTTTACAAGAAGAACTGATCTTCGCTAAAAGACCATTGAAAATCACACAGCTGTTTCATCATACTATAGTATACATGAACGATGAGGATTCAATACCTCATTGTAGGTCGAATTAAGGACTCTCAAATCTCACAGTGAGTTAATAAGTGTTCATCTTCCTCAATCCAGAGAAGATGAAAGCGTACATCTGTCAGCAGATCTGGTTTGATCATATCAATGTTAGGATATTCACCAAATATCCTAAGAATACTATTTTTAGAAGTGCAATCTTATTGGTCGATTTCTATTGGCCGAAATTTTGATCGTTCTTACCGTCAGGGTCAAATACTTCAATGTTACCTCTTATTGGTCATCTGGACGGTCAATGTCATTCAAATGTCCTTCTCTATTGGTCGTCCTAAATTGTCAATGTCACAGACGTTGATGCTTTTTCTTATTCGACCTTAGTGTATAAATACGCGCTATCTGGAAGACTCAATAATTCCGTTTCCCCTGCCTACTTCTTCTGTTACGACCCAATAAACATCTTCCTGCCACGGTGTTACGTTCTGATTTCTAGGAGATTTGGGAAAGCCTTTGGGTCGTTTTGTGATATTTGAATTGGACGTCGTTAGGACTGAAGATTTACGTAGCCGCGTTTACAACAAATTTGGCGACGGGTTGGTGACTAATTATGGATCCAGCTACATTAGAAAAATTGTTTGCACAGCAGCTGAAGCTGATGGAGATGCTTACTCAGACGCACATCTCTTCTCGAGTCTCATCTACACTAACAATTCCTCAGTCAGTTGATGGTATGACCAGTAGTATTTCTGAGTTTCTGTATGATCCTGACGCCAATATTACATTTGATACTTGGTTCATGCGTTATGAAGATCTTTTCAAAGTTGATTTTGCTGACAAAGATGATTCCTGGAAGGTGCGTCTTCTCCTTCGAAAACTTGGTCCGTCAGAACTGGACAAGTATCGCAACTTCATCCTACCGCAGAACCCGCGTGACCGATCATTCGATGCTACGGTTCAGTCCCTGAGCAAACTTTTTGGGGATCAGCATTCTATTTTCAATACACGTTATCGTTGTTTAAAACTAGTCATGAATGAGTCCGATGACTTCTTGACTCATGTTGGTATTGTCAACCGCGAGTGTGAACGGTTCAAACACAGATCCCTTACTGATGACCAATTCAAATCCCTCATATTCATATGCAGTCTACAATCACCCAAATTCTCCGACATCAGAACTCGATTGCTTAACCGCCTCGAACTTGACCCAACACTGACACTCGATGCTATCGCTGATGAGTACCAACGCATCACCAACTTACAGTGTGACACCACTTTGGTTCAATCTGGGAGCCAGGGTGGTTACGAAGTTCACGTTGTTCAGCAGCAGAACAAATCTTCTAGATCGAAAACCTTTGGTCGTTCGAATGCCAGTTCTGATTCGAATCACTCAAAATCAGCGCATAAGAAGCCTCCCTCACCATGTTGGCACTGTGGAGACTGGCATTACGTGAAATTTTGTCCATTCAAGCAGCATGTGTGCAATCGCTGTCAGAAAATTGGTCATAAAAGCGGTTTTTGCCAATCAACCAAATTCACTGGCCGGCGAAATTCACAGACGCAGCGTCGTTATTCCAAAAAGCCGGTTGCTGCATCTAGGAGTTTAGCAGCAGCTTTTCACACCGATGCTTCTACTCGACGCAAATTTCTGACCCTCTCGATCAATGGTCAGCTGGTTCGAATGCAGTTGGATACTGCATCAGATATCACTATTCTGTCAGAAGAGACTTGGCGAACCTTGGGTCAACCACGCATCAAACCATCATCGCAGACAGTTGTCAGTGCCTGTGGGGGTCACCTTCGTCTTCGTGGTAAACTTGATTGCTGTGTTTCGTTCAGAGATACAACCTTCAATGGAACATGCTATATCAACAAGTCTCCTCACAACCTTCTGGGGTTAGATTGGTTCGAAAAACTTGGTCTCGCTGATCTTCCCATCAATACTGTCTGCAATCAAGTAAAAACTCCTGCCGTTACACAACAGCATGCTGCAGATTTTCAAAAACGACTCACTGAATCGCTTCAGCCTGGTATCGGACTGCAGCCAGTTGCCATGCCTGAAGAAAATGTGATCTCAGATAACTTGTGTGACGTCACCATGCATGTCAAGTCCCAACATAAAGCAAACTGGGGTGATGGAGAAAACCATGATACAATAAACAGAAAAAGATATTCACGTGACTCCATTCTTTCTTGTAAATCTTCAAGCGTCGAAGTGAAGCTGGTAAATGATAAGGATATCATGAAAAGCCTTTCAAATACCAAAAGACCTCGTGATCAACTAAGGCCAGGGGGAGATAAAGAGAAAGGTAAAATTACGAAGCGTCTCCCACTCTGTTTGCTGTTGGATACTTATCAAGTTCCGCCAATACCTCCAACAGACACTATCGAGTCATCTACTCAAACAGAACATCCTACAGCTCCAGGGATTTTATCTCCGAGGTGGTCGAAACGCAAGCGAAGAAAATCAAGTAATTTCAAGTAAACCCTCGGCTGTGTCGCTGTTATTTTTTCCTTTTTTTTCTTCCAGAGGGAGGTGTTAGGATATTCACCAAATATCCTAAGAATACTATTTTTAGAACTGCAATCCTATTAGTCGAATTCTATTGGCCGAAATTTTGATCGTTCTTACCGTCAGGGTCAAATACTTCAATGTTACCTCTTATTGGTCATCTGGACGGTCAATGTCATTCAAATGTTCTTTTCTATTGGTCGTCCTAAATTGTCAATGTCACGGACGTTGATGCTTTTTCTTATTCGACCTTAGTGTATAAATACGCGCTATCTGGAAGACTCAATAATTCCGTTTCCCCTGCCTACTTCTTCTGTTACGACCCAATAAACATCTTCCTGCCACGGTGTTACGTTCTGATTTCTAGGAGATTTGGGAAAGCCTTTGGGTCGTTTTGTGATATTTGAATTGGACGCCGTTAGGACTGAAGATTTACGTAGCCGCGTTTACAACAATCAATAATTTCAAATGATAGGTCTCGATTACGTATTCCCAAACAGACTTTTTTTATGCACTTGTTTTATATTTTACAAAAATATACCAGGACGTTTTAGCTCAACAGTGCATCTGATAGTTTCAAGTACTATTGAAGGTACTAGACAGTCTGTTACTCCTCGATTACTCGCATTGCAGAAGCGTACTTCTTCAGATACGTAAGAAAGAAAAGCTGATCAGTAAGTGATCTTAACAACGTGGAAGAGCTTAGCTTCGAAGTTCATGATGTAGATATGAATAAATACTAACACTAATTTGACATAGACTTTGATTATCTTATTTCACTGCGTCGATATATTGTGGCAACTTAAATCAATGTAAATTTATTCACTTGTCTATGTTGGTTATGACTGATAAATTGTATTTATTTAAAAAGGTTTTTTTTCTTACGGACATCGTTAATAATGTGTATTGTTTAAACAGAAACAAAGACATATTCATAGAATTATTCTTTTACCTTAATTCCAATAGTCAACGTCAACTTTTTTCATGTATTATAGTTTTTGTATTTTTGCATTGATCTTTTATGTAGGTTTTTGTACAAAGTCAACTATTGTATCAAAATCCGCTCCCATTCAACATATACCACATCCATATTGTCTTTCTTCTATTATTTCAACAAATTTAATTCTATCCGGAGTTAGTTTAACTGAATTAATGACATCATTAAATTTGAATTATCTTTTACGATTATCTCATACAATCTATGGTAGCATGACAGCAATGTCAACATCATCATCATCATCATCAAAATTTTTATTAAATAATAATAATAATAATAATAATAATAATACAATAATTATGAATAATTGGCGTATGAATTGGTTACAATTCGGTGCATTTCTATTGGAACGTTTTATTGGTTTAATTTTGTCTGGCAATAATAGATCAGTTAGTGATGAAAATAAACTACAAACAATACCTCCATCAATTGAATTGAATTTATTTGCCCGTAAATGGCAAGATCGTTGTTTACCAGTAAGTGAGATTTTTTCTGTGTTTTAATTATGATATGTGTTGACGTTCATTTGTTGCTCAAAAAATTGCCAGACACTACAATATCTCGAATTGTACTTTTCCAAGTCTTGTGAAGCGATAGCTCTTTAACTGTTTATGTAGGTACTTGAATAAATTTTGCGACTATTAGACATAATTGACGTTTTAAAACAACCAAGAATAGTTAACTTGTTGAGACATTTTCATGTTAGTAAACAGATAGCCCAGCAGACCGTCTAGTCTCCAATCGCATCTAATTTTGACAATTATTGGAGACCTGTAAGCACTGTAAGGCCGTTTCGTTGTAATATGAAACTCTTCAGTAGTGCATATCTATAACCACACAGCTGAGGATCGAATAATTGTCCTTTGGTTTCGTGCGTGGACTCTTTACTCGTATGGTGTCCGAATCTGGCTTCAATCAGTTCAAGATATTGGTCCTCAGTGGGTACTTTATTCACCCTTACATGATTTAGTTCTTATAGTCAAGGCTCAATAAAACTGAGAATTTTCTTTCGAATTTTTCCATGCGTGAACGTATAATAATTATCAGTATAGGATTATGGCGACTGTTACGTTTCAGCGAGATTATGAATGGACCTATTTAAAGCCTATAACAAATAGAAGTGGTCGATTCGTGATTTCTCATTACGATCCAACTATCTCCTTTACTCTAATTCTAATAATTTAAAAAAAAAATCTTCTTGTCGTGTTCTCGCATGTTTTTAATGTTTTCGTATAGATTGACATGATATTTAGTTAAAAGAAAGAACCTTAATCGATGCACTATATTATATTTTATTATATAATATGGCTAAGTGTAAACAACACTAACTCGTCAACACGTTTATCACCAGCTGTGCTACGGTACACCTACACACATTTGATACATATGCATGTTAACACGTCATTTTGATATGCTTGAACTATTAAGAATTAACCTTAGTCGGAAAATGTGAGCGAGGACCCGGCGACACGACATGTTACTCTAGTCCGAGTGTCCAAACCCCCATATTGAGTAAAATGAAGAAGAATTGATATGAAGTTGAACCTGTATTCTACAAGCATTCAGAAAGTACGAGGTCCGAGTCCAGAAGAAAATCAGAATCCTGGACTCAGGAATCGGGTCCGGGCCCTAAAACGTTACAGATAATTCGTATTTATACATTTAGGTCGAATAGGAAACAGCATCGAAGTCTGTGACATAGACAGTTAAGACGACCAATAGAAAACAACATTTGAAGTGACATTGAAATTCAGGACGACCAATAAGAAACAACATTGGAGTACGCGACATTGATATCTAGGACGATCATAAAATTAACCGGTAGAAATTAACCAGAAGGAATTGACCAATAATTCTCTTAGGATATTGTGTGAATATCCTAACACCTCCCTCTGATTAAATTGAAGCTACAAACGACGGTTTATTTGTATCTGGACTGTTATTTGGTGCTTTCGGGGAGGATATTTCTGGAACGGAGACGAGAACCAGTCTTGGATAGTTCTGAGCGGTTAGGTTTCTTTTTATATGTTTGCTGTTTGAACCAATATGACAAAGTAATTTTAAATCGGCTGTCGGAATGAGCTGAAGTCAAGTGGACTGGGTGTAGCAGGGGGCATAGCGACTCTGGTTAGTTGACAGATGCAATACACAACGTCAGATTAACTTGTTCCATTATAGTCGTCTCGCGATGCAGCTTGGTATTTATCAACATCTTCCGACTAAGGTTAACTGGTAATAGTTCAAGCATATCAAAATGATGTGTTAACGTTCATGCGTAACAACATTTGATACATACTTATTCAAAAACATATCGGAATAATGCTGTGGTACATTTTGTTCTACTAATAAAGTAGTTCTTTGGTAAGTATTAAAAATAACATTTTCTAAAAATAGAAAATTATTTGAAGGTAATCTGTGATTATACAGTTGCATCTTGTGTGTATATGTCTATGTATATTTTCGTAAGATTCATTTTACTTGATTATTCATTATTGAGATTGGTTAGTTTATACTACTTGTAAACTATTGATCAAAATCATTGAACTTTCTTCACTAATGGAATTAATTTGCTCCATTCATCATTTGTAATTGTTGGATCTCACATTGTTCATTCATCTTTTTTAATCATGTATTAATTGAATTTGGAAATTTACAATGATTACGACGATTGTCTATATTGTGTTTTTTTGATTAAATAAGAGATTAATCTTTCTTAAATCACATGAAATTTAATACAAATAAAAGTAAGTATTCAATCTGAAGCAGGTGGTTATTTCCTTTTTTTTTTTTACTTTTTTTTCTGTTAATTTTATCATTGTGTTTCTGTTTATTTTTGCATAATTGTTGACTTAGTTTTTATTTAATTATTATTATTATTATTATTATTTAATTATATTCCTATAGATTCGTTATGCTGCTCGAACATTACTATTATCATGCTTAGATCAATTATCATTGAATGATCGAAAATTACTGGTCACTTATTGGTCAAGTTTATTGCCACCATTTGCTCTTACTAATCAAGGACAACCACAAACACAACAACCACAGCCTCAATTAATTCATCAACAAAATTCATTAGATTCTGTAAATTATATCGGTTATCATATCATAGATATTTTAGCTAATCATCATATCGATAACAAAATTGTACGTAAGCAAAGTTTGCCATCAATGAATGGTCTAGAGAAAACTGCAAAATTCAATGAATTAAAGAGTTTATCTGGTAAAGATGTATTTGTACAAGTGAATGATACTACTACTACTACTACTACTACTACTACTACTACTACTACTAATGATAAAGTTAACCAACAATTTTTATCAGATAAACAACAATCTACACCAAGTAAACAACCTGTATCGACAAATTCATTACCAAATCTAACTGAATCTGTCAGTATGTCCAGTTTAACATCAAATCTTAATATGTCTATGGTATTGGATAGTTCATGGTGGATGACATTGAATGGTTATCGTATATCGCCTAGAGAGCATGCACGACTTCAGGTAATATAACTTACTTTTTTTTTTCTCACTCGAAAAAGTAACAATCATCTATTTAATAAAATAATTTTGATGATTTTTAATAATTTTGAATGTTTTTGTTTTGTTTTTTGAACGATTTGTATTTGTCAATTAAGATTCTTGTCATTGAAAATCAGGTATTTCATTTCGTCTAGGAATCAGTCAATTACTAGGCGGAAACAACTCTTCATTACTCTTTGATTTCCAATGGTTTTTCAGCTGAGACTAACGAATGTTAATGACCCACAATTTTGAATTTATATCAATTAAATATAATGCAGTTTATAGGTGAACATTTTATTATATAATCTGTAGACCAAATATGTAGCAATCTGCTATAAGATTTTATTCTACTAGCCAGATCTATAACAGGTTTGGCATAAAAGAGACTAGAAGATAATTTGAAATTATTTGAAGAGAAATAGCATCTTTTAAATAAAGTTTTAAAAGATAATGATGCAATAAGTGCTTATGTAAGCCTCATCTCTAAGTTGAATATCTTGTGTAATTTATTTAGTTTTGTTACTTTCCCTCATCAGCTGCCAAGTGTCGATGAATGATTGCTTTTGTCCAGAGTTACAACTTATGCTACAAAATATTGAAATTTTTATAGACATTGTATCTCATCTAGATGATAAGAAATCTGTAATTGAGTAACAATCTACTTGTTGTCAACTTTATAAGCACACACATATATATGAATACACTTGACTGACAATAGTCAATTAGTACAGTATTCAAGTTCAAATTTCTAACTCTCTGCCTACTATCTCCAACTCTTTCATCTTACAATATTATCGAGATTCTCATTCAGCGTTACACACTGCGATACGTTGATTTCGTTCTCTTGTGTTTAGTTTTGTATCGGTTTTGCATGTGTATTTCCTACTATGATAAATCTAATTTTATCAGGCTTATCTTTTACAGCGAGATATACAGAGGTGTCAGGTATGCTGCTTTTGTGTGTGCGTGTGTGTGCGTACTTCATATGTTTTTTCAATTACAGTTATCGAGATTAGTATTTTTTGCACATTGAAATAATCAACCAGTCGCTGTTAGATCACCATTTGAAACCTGGAAGCAGTGGACAGCCGTTTCGTCTTGGTATGGGACTCATCAGGAGTGCGCATCCACGACATCTGCACCTCGTCCAGTGCTTCCAGATTTCTAATGGTGGTCTAACAACGATTGATTGATGATTTCAGTGTACCTCATATGTATTGCTTCCATTTTCCCCTTTTATTTGCTTGTGTCCTTGCACTTTCTGTTTGTTTGTGTGCCTGAATGTTTATCCATATGCGTTTATGTATATTCAGCTCTAATTGGCTGGCTGCTCGTTCTTGTATTCTTATCATTTTATTTTTATTTTACACCATACAATCATCAAACTTTATGCACATTTGACTTTTGAACCATTTCATATGAGAAAAATTGGTGAAGGCAGTTCCGGGAATGTGTGAAGTTTTGAACATTTATGTTTGCTCTCTTAGTTCATGTGACGAACTAATCTTAAACGTGAACATTAACAACCTCTCTCAGAATCAGAACAAAAACCTTCACGTCTCACCTTCAGCTCAGTAGTCTGAATGATTTAGCACAGTGAGTAACTTAAAGGTTCTGGTTTCAATCCGTTATTTAATCATGAATGTACACTAATGAAGAGTCTCATACTAGGACAAAACAACTTTTTAATACATCCTGGTTTTCAAAGACTCTAATAGCTAAGGCCAAATGATAATGTAAATTGTAAAAACAGAATAGACAGTTATCATGTAAATGAATTGGGCTTCTTTTTGTAAATATTGATAATATGAATTGAAAATTGAAAATAAAATGAAATTGTACTGTTTATGTGAAAGAAAGTAAGAAAGGATGTTCAAACATTCAAAATCTGAAATCATCACTTATACTTTGAACGTAAAAAAAAATTTGAGCTCACAAAACATCCAAAACATTGTTTGATTCAACTATTATTATACAGTCGATTACAGTGATCAATATTTAAAACAAATTACTTTTCCATCTTGAAGAGTGTTTAGGCAAGATGTAATATGATGTTCGAAAAAAGACACTCAGATTTAGCAAGTCTATTTCATGCATTAATGTTAATCAGTTATTTGTAACAGTCCAATGTGTTATAAATAAGCTTCCTGTAGTGGTGATCAAGTTCCAAAACTTTTATTAAATTTGTAGAAGCATTTGTTGTACAATTAAACATAAAGCGAAACCTCAAGAACAGTAGATTCAATCTATTTTGTTGTCCAAGTAAGTCTCAAGTCAATAGCCAACTTTGTCTTAAGATAATCTTGTTTTAACAGGACAAATATTGAAAAAAAAGTTGTAATTTTTGGATTTTGTTTTTTCTTGAATTACTACTATTCATATTTTTGCTTTATAAATTATTATGTAACTAGATTATTATGTCTGCATATTCTGTTTATCGTATGCTTCTGTTTAATTTATTCACTATTATAATGCTACATATTATCCCTGTTTTATTGCTAATCGATTTTTCACAGCTTGCTCTATTCACAGGATTTCCTTTAAAGACTTTTCATTTCAAGGTTTTTATCAGAGACTGACAGTGGCTAGGGTTACTTTCCAGTATAAATAACACTATTATTGTAATTATCTCAATAAACTAGCTTGAAAAGTTGAACCATTATTTACTGATCCAAATAATCTAAATTTTCACTTTCTCATCACCAAACCTGATAGTCACGCCTGCTGTGCTTCTTAATTTTGAATCTAAGTTGCAATCTGTGTTGGTTGCCCTGTTATTTTTCAATGGTCTTTATTTATCATTATCCACCTTGGACAATTTATGTAAAATTCATTCTTACTACACCTCTACTAACTTGTCACCATATTATTTTACAAATTATGTAATCTCTAATTGAATATTAGTTCAAATTGCCAATCCTCTTTTTTCTTCTTGACCAAAATATATGATTCGCCTATTATTGTCTACATTCTCTTTGACCCTACATTACTAACACTCATCCAAACGTATATATATATATATGTATATTTATATATATTCCTGTGTGTCAGCTCCCAAGCGGCCACCGATTGGGAGGACGAATAGGAAAGGAGGAAACTTATTGAGGTAAACAACTTGCACATATATATCTATATCCTTTGAAAATGAAATTGTTTTTTTGGCCAATAACATGTTTTTGTCATCAGGAGGTTTTTGATTGGCCCATTGTATTAACTCTAATTTCACATCCTGCATTTTTTTTAAACAATCGTTTTATCCTGAACTAAGCTAGTTTTTTTTAATAAATCATTTATTGGACCTCATAACTGTGTATATTCTTACCAGAATCGATTGCATACAATATTCTTTCTCCTTTATATTCTCCATATTGACATTGATGTGTTAGGGACTAGAATAAAATGTAAATATCGGAAATCCCCGTGTTGTAATTTGGCACAACGCAAATAAGCGAACAACATTGTTTTCAATTAAATCCTCATTCGATTTTTCTTTAATGTACGTTGATATTTATGTATGCATATGTCAAACTATTCAAGCGATCAAGGCAGTAGTAACAATAAATTAGATTACTTAACTAAACATACTAATTCAAATCAGAAACTGATTCTAGTTAGACCACCATTGAAAATCTTCAAGCTGCAGTTAGTCGTTTTATCCTAACATAGGACTCTTCAATAATGCGCATCCATGGTCTCGCAATCGTGAATCGAGGTTTGCACGAAAATCCTAACTCAATCCAATATTAGCACTGTTAAATACAAGTTCAGTGGTTAGGCGTTCCTGCGCAAAATGAAAAGTTCTTGGATTTGATCGTCAAACGCGTGATTGTGATTGTTCACAGCTACGGAGTCTCACACATGAACAAAACGGTCGTAACACGGTATTCAGGATACGAAACTAAATATGTGTGTGTACGAAAATGCTTTATGTTGTTTTATTCAGGAAATTTCGCATTTTATCATCGTTATTTAGAATTGAATTTTGGTAGATCGTTGTCAGCATATAAACTGGCTGAACATCTCGCTTGATATATCTCGACATCTTTAACAGCAACATAATACAAATCCTTATAAATCAATTTTTACCTATTACATGAACAAATGATCATCTGAACTCTGAACAATGTAGTAAATGCTGTTATAACGAACGAAAACTGCAAGACTAGGCGAGATAAGCAATTTGTTCCAAAAAGATAGTTTACTAAACAAAATGTGTGTATACCTTATGTTCAAACTTCGATTTGTAAAACAAGCGTATTATCGTCTGTTTTTCCCCACATATCTTCTAGTTTTTAAAACATACGGATTCGAACCGCTTCACTTAGTCAGTGACTTGAGGGTGACACACTGCTGCATATCAACTGCACACTACTTATAATCCAATTTGTCAGTTGTACACACCACACTTGGTTTGATTTGCAATATTGAATATCAGCAGTATGATTCAGGTATATTCAACTGAAAAGTTCAAAATAAGATAAAACGCGTACCATAGATTCCAGTGATATTTACAAGTCTAATTTACTGTAGATTTTATACAATTGTTCTCATTGTGATGTTTTGTTTGCATCTTTATTTCTTTCTGTTCCCATAATTTATTTTCAACTAATATTCATAAATTTTCTGCATCCAATAATTCAATCTATAAATAATATTTGCATAGCGCTCATCACTTTTTTTAATCAAGAATCAAATATTCATGTTTATGTACACCTATCGGAAAAACTACATTGTTATATCGCTTTCTTTCTGTCTCTTGCTTTGTCGCTATGTAGTTAGTTGTGACAATCAATTTCAGTCAGTCTTTCTCTAATTTATTTGATGGTTTATATGTGAGCTGAGTATTTTAACTGGTGTTAGCAGTAGTACAATAAAAGAAGATCCGAGTGCAGATAGAATAAGCTACTTATTTACAATAGACACAGTCTACTAGTCTAAAAGTGTTTACCTTATCATAAAACATCCATTTGTCTCTTCTTCCACATGTCTTCTATTCCTCAAAACACCGAAATCGCTCCATAACTCCATATTTGACGCTTTTATTCAGCTGTAACTTCAAAGCAATACTTTGCTGAAGATTCATTGCAAACTGCTTATAAGCTTCACCACAATAACTATTGTATTAACAGTTGTTATCCACACTACACAAAATCTATTCCAGTTAAATCCATATATTTTTTCTTTTCATCATACTAAGTAATGAGTCCATTTCATGTAGGAATACGACTGTGCACTTTTTTTAATTTGACAAATAGATGAATTTATTTAATATTCTTCACTGAATTATCAAAGCCCTAATTGGTTCATTCGAAGATTTGATTAGAAACATCACTTTATACTACTTAAAATCTATTTGAGTAGCTTATGTCCATCTGTTGGTTAGTTTTTTTGCTTTTATTACATTTTTTCTAAATTACCATTATGGTAAATCGATTGTATTATTTAACTGTTGATTATTTTTTCTAATATTTAAATTGGTTTATGGTTAACTGTGCTTGGAGAATGATTTATTTAATTACGTTATACAGTTTTAGTTGTTGTTCTCACTCTTCAAAGCCTTGTTTAAGTGAGTTATGAAGTGCATCAATTGTATCATAAATTATTTTCTAGAATACTGTCTTTTTTTATTGATTCCAATGGTACAGATCATTAGCGAAAGTAATGGAAGCAACCAATCTCTAAATATTTACTACGCGAAAATAGTCATTGTATTTTCACGAAGATATGTATATCGTATCCTACCAGCATTTTATGGCTTGTGTTATGTAACAAATTAAATTTCATCTTATATGAAAAAAGTGATCATTAAAATAATAGCACTTCTCATTTTATACAAGTTGTTGTCGAGTTTACAACATGGTAGTTGGTTGTAAAGAGATTAGCACAATTGACGGTTTATTTTTTATGCGGAGTTTTTACGCGTTTCTGATGTTAAAAACCATTAAGGGACTTTGTTTCTGTCTAATTCTTTCACGATAATTCACAGTGTATATCCGTGATTATTAGTCAGAACTTTGAACATACGTTCATCAATCCAAATTACCATACCACATTAGCACATAGAGATCGAATTGAAATTCGAATTAAACTTTTATGATTGCTATTATAATTGTTCGCCTTAACGCATAAAATAAACCAACTCTGTTTTGAACTAATTCACCTGTTAGATTTTTACTAGGTACAATAATATTATATTTGAATAATTATACACACTTGTTAATTTTTGTTGTCTTCATTAACATTTATAACAGTATAAGACACCTGCCTCGTATAATTCCATTCGTTGTTGGTATTGTTTGTTGATTTATTATAGTATTTGCTTGAACAAGAGCTGTTAATTAATTTTCTATGTTTCACACAAACTTTTGTTATTGATTTACATGTTGAATAACTGATCTACCTATCCATAGGTTTTTAAGACTAGTGTATTTTTAAAAAGTCGCTTTGTACGGTCGTTGATTATGCCGCAATAGTAGTAGTAGTAGTAGTAGTAGTAGCAACCATATTGTTATCTCAATTGTTTGACGTATTATCTTTGTCTCAATCGCTGCTTACTTGATACACTATGTGTAATAGTGAATTTAATTATTTATAATTCTTAATGCTTTTGTTTGTTTGTTTTTAATTTTATTCACAAGGCTATAGCCATTGTTCTAATGGGTATAATTGGTGTACGTTTTGGTTCTTCTACTAAACGACGTCATCCAGCTGTTGTTGCACGTGATTTGATTTCTGAACCTTTAGTTATGACTTCAAATAGAACATATGAAGTAATGAATCATTGGAATTGTGGTTTAGCATCACCATGTTTTGCCGCACCTGATGACGATGATGATGATGATGATAATTGTAAGGTGAAGTCAGAAATGACGACAATAGCAGTAAAACAAATTCCATTGAATCGATCAGAAGAAATTCCGTTCTCCGTAAAAACGTTCTCTCAATACACACCTAATCAATCTTCTGAGATACAAGATGGTTTTGGATTGGATAATCATTATCTTGCCAGATCCACTTGCCAGTGTTTATCTGCCTTATTGTTTAATGGAGGTATGTGTGTAAGCTTTGCATATGTATCTTCATTTTCATTCTAAAATCAAATCTTATCAGTTGAATTTCTAACCTTAGTACATAGTACACAGTTTGATATCTCACCACTACCTATCTCATCGCATAAATTTTCTTGCAGTGTTGATGTGTTTTGACGTCTTAAATAGATTAATTACCGTGTAATCGGTTTCACTCTGCTTATGACTGACTGACTGACTTGGTGCTCATTTAATAACGTTTGAATGCTGATAGAGTATTTATCTAGGCGATAGACACTTTCCAGTTGCATACATGATAGAGAAATAGGGAATTTTCCAGGTTCACAGTCGACCTCTTCTTATATCACCTTCAGTTTACGAGAAGATTAGAAAATTGATTATCAACTTTTACGAGTTCTCAATTAATACAGTTCAATATTTCCATAACTAAATTCTATATTTGATTGGTCGATAAGGAAAGAAAATGACGAGAGTAGAGAAGATGCCTCACATCGATTGAGTGAATATAAAATTGATATGAAGTCACTCTGTGTATACACAGTAACAAAATATGAGTTTGGCATACAGTAAAGTACAGTTCATAAACCATATGTGATGACAATCAATGTTACATAATATCAAAGTTTATGATGAAAAAGCTAGTTAAGAGAATTCTTGTTAGATGAAAAAAAAATTTTAGACAATTCAAAGTAATTCTAGCAATTTCTTTAATCTATCCAAACTTTCTGTAGCTTTTATTTCTTTATAATGAATATTTCTGTGACTATATTGATGAATTGTGAATAACCTTGTTTTTTTGTTTTGTTTTTTTAAAAAAAACTTTTATTGAAACATTATAAAATTTTCATTTTTTTTTAAAATCAGTTGTTTGTTCGAATAGATATTTTGTTTTCTTGTTGAAATTATTATTTCCCTATTAGGAATACAATTTCAAATCTGTCCTACTACATCATATATTTACTTGTAAATTCTTAAATGTTAGGCAATTAATTGTCCACTATCCTGCCAACCTAATCATCTATGTAATCTGAGGAGAATGAAAGAATTTTTTTTCTTTTCATTTAGTTGATAAAAGTGAATTGTTTCCAAAATGACTGTATTGGTTTCCTTTAAATTTAAGAAATTCCTCTACTGTGATGACGAGTACTACTAACTGGTAGAAAATATACTTCAGAGTCTTCTCTTACCGAGTACATTCATCAATCTAAGAGTGTACATGCTGCGTTGAATCACATGATATTACAAATTAGTCAATAGAATAAATTCAAGCCAACTATATTATTACAGTCAGTACTTAGTAATCAACAAATGTTGTAAATAGATTAATCTACAACTGAATAATACTACATTGAGTACACTTGTCTTATTATTATTAAATGCACTCCATAATAGTTTACTATGCATCATTATGATCATTCGATAATTTCTTTATTGAAACAAGAGTATAGTGTTTTAAGTGGAGATGAATAGTGGCAAGTAGTAGATTTCATAACGTACGTTAAGTCCTATTTCGGTTTGGTCAGCTAGATGTAACTGCATCTCAGAGTTGATGTTCAGTTGGGGACCCAAATCCTGTACCGTTCAACCGACTATTGAAATCAACAACATAGCAGTACCGTTGCATCAAGCTGACGAGTCCCGAATAGAACTAAACGCGTGTTTCATATTCCACTGCTAACCACTATCTATCTCTGTTTAAAATGCTCATGACAATGGTAATATGGAGGCAGTTTTCATAAGATGTATGCTTGAAGAGACTGATCAATTCTAGTCCTCCGTATCAATGGAAAGATTCAAACAACCAGTGCATATGAACATAATGATTAGAACTATTAAGAAACTGTTTTTGATTCTACTTTGGAACTCTATTACCAGTACACATTCACTACTATTTCACATTATATATCAAAGCACGTCCCCCATTATTAAGTTATATAAAGTAGATTTAAATTTTACACTATCGAGTTAGAAGCTGTCAATTTACATGTTCTTACTTGTAAATGAAATAATTACCTGATTAAACTTAATTTTCAATGATTCTTTAGGTGAAATCAATTTATGTCAAAAACTGTGTACAAGTTCTATACCCATAATTATGGATATAAAACCTCACATGTTGTATCCATTGTGTCAACTTGTCACATCATATCAACCTAAAGAGATCAAATTATTAACAAAAATGCTAGATTAGTGGAAGTAGGTAACTACATGATTTTTGGTAAAAAAGAAAAGATTGTTAGATTGTGATTGGCAATACATCATGGTACCATGATGTATTTATTTGAATTTTAAGTTAATTACTTAATCACATTTGTTAACATTTTTCTTTACTCACTTTATTCTCTTGTTATTTGTAATATTGTCTAGGCTATCCAGTTTTATTGCCTACTGACACTTATCAACCTGAAATTGATTGGAGTAAATATCATGATCAAACTGTTAACAGTAATTCCGAAGTATTACCTGTATATGCAGCTAATGCTTTAATGACATTATTAACATCAAATGTGAACAGTACACTGAGACGAGCTGCAATTGATCTCTTAGGTCGTGGTTTTCCTGTCTGGGAACCGTTTGTTGATGTTGGGCAAATGATTAACGTTTTATTATTGTTAGCTTCCGGTGCTGAAGTGTTATTATCAAGGTAAATAACTACATTTTTGTGAATTAGATCTGTTTTGTTTCGATAAACATTATGACATTTCAGCTAATGAGATGCAAATATTTTATGATGTCCAGTTCAGATAATTATTAGTATCATCGTCCGAATACATAAGAACTGTGCAAATAATCAGTTTAAGTGTATGTACTTATTAAAAAAGGAGATGTGTTAGCCGTTTTGAAAAAAATAAAAAAGAAAAGAAAAAAACCAACAGTATAAAATTGGTTAAAAAAAATTTTCATTTTTAACCAAGAACAAAACACAAAGATGTCACGAATAATTTCTTTGTGCACGTAAACTAGGGGTGAACTCACTCAGTTACTTTTATGTAAGAGATGAGGTCGAAACCTATCATTGAGAATGTGATGGTATACGATCTAAAAACCGTGGATGCTTTATATATATATATATATATATATATATATATAGATATAATTACTGTGTATTCCAGTAAAACTTGATGTAGATCTATTCTTTTTCTATCCTAGTTGGCAATGATCACCACCACTATTGGATGGTAATAATTTTATGCAACCCTTGTCTAAACACTAACTTTGTTTAATTTGATCTATTTTTGTTTGTTTTCGTATTTTCATTATTCAGCAATACATCTTGTCAACTTATCTCAGATCGTGTTGATTTAGCACGTACAGCACGTGAAGCTTTATGGGCTATTGGATTTACACGACCAAAATTGATTACTTTAGCTTTATCATTGGAAGTTCGCAGATTTGGTGCACAAATTAATGCAGCTGCTTCAGCTATAACATCTAATAATACTGGTCGATCATCCATTCCAACATCATCATCTACATTGAATTCAGCACATATTCAATCATCATGGAGTTTGACAAAATCACTTTCAAAAGATTCTGATAATCATCATCTAGTCAGTGTGTCACGTCATGAATCAATAATCGTTGGTAATGAATTCCAGTCTGTTTCTAACACCTCTTCACCAAATATGATAGTTATGATGACTAATCCAATTGTAGCTACACCTGTTTTTAATTCTACTATTAGTGGTGGTGGTGGTGGTAATACAGGAACAAATTTCAATCGATCTGCTACCAGTGGATATTCAAGTAAATTTATTTTCATTTTTTTTTACTTGTCTATTGTTATAGAAATTAATCAATCAATCATGATCTTAATCATGATCATTATTACTTGCCAATTAGTTAGTTTTGTTTTTTGTGACAAATTAATTTTCAACAGTTAAAATGTTTAATTCAAATTTTATTAAATTTCATACCTGTTGTACAAATGATTGGCCATCTGAACTCAGTAGTCAAATGGGTAACGCAATGACATTTGAAGCAAACGGTACTGAGTTTGAGTCGTGAAGTAAACTCTGAAATTCAGGTACATCGAGCTGAATAGTCCTAGATAAGACGGAACGTGCACCCAAAATTCTAACGCAAGCCACATTCTATCTATTCTAAGTTGGAATGTTTGTATGAGATAAAGCTATACGATCCAATGTTTTTCCATTCGTTTAGTTAATGAATGCTGCATATAAATACATGATTTTCACTGATGACTTCATTCAAGACGCCGTTGTAGCGTAACTCAACTTGCCGGAAGAAGAAAGTGAATAGAGTGGATGTTGGAAATTTGAATGTAATTCTCAGTGGAAAACTTATCTATCTACACTTATGAAACTGATTGTCAATAGAAATCACTATAATGCATAATTGCTTTGTAGTATTATTTCTTACACGAGAATGACATTCTTTGTAGTCAGATAGTTTGGTTACCATCGTAAACAGACATTTATAGGCCATAAGTTAAGTCCAGCAACTCTGGTCAATAGATGTATAATGATGTTCATAGTTTAAATCACAAAGTAATCTTTGTTAAATCGTCATTGTAAACCTAAAAATATTGGATAGTTGTTTTGTCCTAGTATGGAACTGTCCAGCAGTGCGTGTTTACAACTCTGCACACAGGAAACAAACTTAGAACCTTCATAAATCAACTGTCGGATACCGGTTCATTGGTCTGTAAGTTAAAATTTCAGGCCAAGGATACCCACTGCTAAGATGTTCCATATCAGGATGAAACAGCCGTCAAATTTCTCAGTAGTGGTCTCGGTAGGAAGTTTTTACACTTTCCTAAAATTCTTCATTTCTAATAATATTTGTAGGTCGCATCATTTATTTACAGTTAGTTAGTTACAACGTAGGACTTCGTACGTACGTATATCAGTTCAAGTTTCCATACCATATCAGCACAAAGATGTAATTGCCAATTCAAATCCCATAGTAGTAGACGTAATAGAAGGATTTGCAGTAATTGTAGAGATTAGGGTTCGACGATATTATTTGGGAAGTAGAAATTAGTGAAATAATCTTAAAAATAAAAAGATAAAGGTGATGAGGAATTCGGAAGATTCCAGAGAACACATAGAGTGGATGCACTTGCACCATTGAGCCATGTCATATAAGGTCTCTAACCATTGATTACTATCATCTCGTGGCCCCATCCAGGTAGTCTACACTTACCAACACGACTCCCGACCGAAGCTGCTACCTTGACGTGGTGGTCGGGCTTGCCTATCGTGATGACCCAACCGAGCTATACTGGCTGGAACACATGTTCCTGCAGGTCCTACCATGCCAGGCAGGTCGATTGGAGAACGATGAGACTAAAAGCAGCTACCCAATGTCTGAGGGTGAAGTCGTACTACTGACTGACTGCAGAGGGGTGTGACAGCAGTAAGGTGTTCCCCTCGGACAACCAGCATCTGCAGCGATGCTACCTTCTCACAAGGAAGGAAGGGTTAGAAAAGGTCGACCCTAAAAATGTCACACCTCTCCTAACTCACGGATTTCCGTTTCCTTGGGTAAGGGTGCCCACTAAGGGCTTTTGAGAACGGAGCTAATCCTCAAAAAATGTTTCATAAAAAGGCCGTGCGTGACCGGCCTCAAGCAGTTGTCCCTTGGGCTCTGCGGTCACGCTCTCAGGTCTCTAAGACCAACACTAATCTATCTTCCTTTTTAGGTTCCTCAAGAATCAACCTTCCACGGTGTGGGCAGCCGGGAAGTGATAACCGCCCTCATACCCGCAACAGCACACAAGACCAAATTGTTCAAAATCAAATCCTTCCTACATTCCCTAATACCTCTCTTGTCTCCACGACTAACTCTTCTCACATTCATTTATCACAGTGCACAGCTAATGTAAACGATGCGAGTTCACGAAATGTCGTTCCTGGTCTCCTTAAACCCCGTTCTAGACTACATGTTGGAGCATTTAATGTACGGACATTGTTTCAAATAGGGCAACAGGATTCGTTAGCTAGAACATCGCTGCGTATCGGAAACGCGCATACAGGATCCGAGTAGCATCACTCATTTGACCTCACCATGTCAAGATAAAGAAGCAGCTCGATTTACACTTCGTGTATCCGGTAGCCCTGATGCTGCTTCTAGGGGCCTAGCCGGTGTAGGTATAGCATTGAATCGTAGGGCAGAACAATCTCTCCTTGACTGGATCCCTGTAGATAGTCGCTTGTGCGCCGTCCGACTGAACGGGATAGTAAGGGCTCGGAAAGATAGGGACACCCGTCGTTGCCTCTTCGTCATATCAGCCTACGCCCCCACTGACTGCAGCCCAGATGATGTAAACGATGAGTTTTACAGAAAACTTTCAGACCTCCAAAACGTTAAGCGCTCTGATATAGTAATAATGGCTGGTGACTTCAATGCTCAGGTAGGTAGACTAAGTGAAAATGAAAGACACCTAGGTGGATGTTGTGGTGTCGTGGCTCGAATAACAGACGATGGCGACCGTCTGTTGCAACTGTGCTCAGATAACCGCCTATTTCTAACAAACACTAACTTAAGGCATAATGAAAAACATCTTTTGACCTGGCAACCCCCGAAGTCGTCTCAACGTTGGACTCAAATAGATCACATTGCCGTCAGCCACATATGGAGAGGTTCGATAGAGGACTGCCGCTCGTTCTTGGGCACACATGTAGACTTAGATCATGTCCTTGTGCGAGCGCGTATTTGTTTGAGGCTTACTGGACGTAGGAAAGACACCGTAAGGAAACCTCTTAGGGTTCTACTTGATGATAATCAAGCTAAGAAACTATTTCAGGAGGAACTAGAAAAACAGTGACCATGCAAGTGATTCCTATCCGGAGTCAGGTTGGAATCATATCAAGAAGGCTGCTGAAACAGCAGCGATATCTGGTAGCAAGGTAAACCACAAGGCTAGGATGAAGCAGTGGATTTCAGTCGCATCCACCGAACTGATGGATGCTCGAAAACGCATCACACCTGACTCTGAATATGATGAGGAGCGTAGTCAACTTAGGCGCAGACTTATAAAAAGCCTACGTAACGACCGTGAACAGTGGTGGATGGCGAAAGCGAAAGCGATGGAAAAGGCAGCGGCGATCGGCAACACTAGACAACTTTTCCGCCTTATTAAAGAAGTTGGTATTAGGAACCCGAATGTGAGTGAGACAATCTCGGAAAAGGATGGTCTTATTATCCATTCTCAATCTAGGAGGCTGGACCAATGTGCAGAACACTTTTGCCAACCTGCGTCACTTATGGCGTAGGCGTGATATCCGTTCGCTAACCAAAAGGGCGGGTGTACTGCGCAATAATTCGTTCCGTTCTCTTATATGGCTGTGAAACATGGCCGTTAAGATTAGAAGATGTTCGTAGGTTACTAGTATTCGATCATAGATGTTTAAGAAGCATTGCTCGTATATCGTGGGACAGCCGAGTAAGCAATGCTGTCGTTAGGAAACGAGTAATAGGTAAGGATGGTAGATCAATAGATGAAGTGATGAAACTTCATCAATTTAGGTGGTTGGGACATGTGTTACGTATACCTAACCACCGACTGCCTCGACGAGCTATGTTTTGTGGTGTAGGAATAGGTTGGAAGAAAGGTAGGGGCGGCCAGACCAAAACATGGCAGAAATCCATGAATTCACTGACAAGTTGACTGAGTCATGTTGGTAGATGTAGACTACCTGTTTGGGGTCCGCGAGACGAAAGTCACCAATGGTTAGAGACCTTGAACGACATGGCTCAAAATCGTTTGCAATGGCGCAGGTGCATCCACTCTTTGACCTCTCTCAAATCCTAATCTTCTGGATTCGTCAGCACCTCTACCTTTGTCTTTCTAACCTTATCTCACTGAATTATATTTCTTGAATAATATCTTCGAACCATAGTCTTCTTTATTAACATTAATACCTCTACTATCTTTATCACTATGGGATTTGATTTGACATTTGCGTCTCTATGCTGTGGTATGGCAACATGAACTTATGTACATACGTACGAAGTTCTACGTTGGAACTGACTGACTGACCAACACGACTCAATCCGGTTGTCAGTGACTTCATGGATTTGTGCCATGTTTTAGTTTGACCACCCCAAGCCCATAGCATTCGTCCAACCTATTCCTACACCACAAAATATAGCTTGACGAGGCAGTCAGTGTTTGAGCATTCGTAACACATGACTCAACCACCTCAAGCGATGAAGTTTCAATACTTCATCTACTGATTTGTCACCCTTACCTAGTGCAAAGTACCCGTAGTCAACAAATGAAGAAACAATACGAAACTTTTAAAATGAATTCATTCCATATGATAATCGAATTCGGACAAACCTCATTGGTTGTTAGCTGGTAATGGCTTCACTGGTAAAGTTGAATAAGAAGCCCACCTTACTTATCCCTGTTTCAGCAACCGGATACTATCACTAACCCCTCATACCTAAAGCTAAGTACACAAACACATATATACTTGGTAGATGATTTCTTAATGTATCTATTCTGAAGAAAAATCTTACGAATATTTAAATAATTCAGATGAATTTATTCACACTATTTTCACTTCATTATAGATGCAGACTCTTCAACACTATTCGATCAGCAATGTCCACCAATGTTTAAAGCTCGTGATGAAGTATTACGTTTATTTGAACAACTTTGTATTAGACGATCAAATGATATTAAAGATGTATTACCGGAAGTTGTTGAAGTAATTATAGCTTGTTCAGATCGTACACGTTTAAAAGAACGTGGATTAGATTATGTATTTCCTGCACTTACACCGTAGGTTTATATAAATGTCATTAATTATAAAATAGTGTTTATTTAATATATTTATAAAATTAATGATTGATTTATCTCGGTCAATATAATTATCATTATGGGATTGTGAAAATGGTTGAGTTTTATTGAAACTATGAATCGATCAATGTTAAACTAACTTTGAAAACCTGGAAGCACTGTAAAATTGTTTCACCTAAGTTCCAGACTCGACGGTAGTGCACGTCTACAACATTTCAGGCGGGGGTCAAACCCATGACCTTTGGTTTCGTGCGCGGACACGTAATGTATTAATCAATATATTTTGTGGTGCAGGTTGATATCGTCAGCAACGCAAACTCGTTAATTAATTGGTTGATGCTGAATTTTCGGTTAATGTATGATAGTCACCACTAGTTGGTTAATCATTCATTACGTAATGAATGGCCTATATTATGTTTGTCTAGTTTTCCATATTGATCGAATTCTGTCGATCAAGTCGCACTGTATTCATTAGCTTAGGTGACTGAAAATCATGTAGACTATTTCAGAATGTTATGTGGTTAGAAATAGTCATCAGGAAATTTTGGGAGTAGGTTTTGCACTAGTTGTCACTTTTCAGCAGGGCGTAATTTCCATCCTAGGTGGACTGATATCACCTTTAGAATCGGAAAACGCGGGTTCGAATCGTTCAGGGAATCTTTGTTCCCTCGACGTTTCAAGAAGGGTTTCCTACTGACTAACGTCTAATAGTCATTATTAATATCAACTTTCATGAAATTTGAAGTGTAAATTATTATGAGTTCTTGATCAATTCATTATATCAGGTTTTAATTTCAACTCCATATTCAGATATTTGTTAGAAGTTTTTAAAGCATAAAAATACGATTCTCTCAACATTAAACTCCAACGATCATGACCAATGGTTGAATATGTTGAATTATATGATACAGGATCAATCACAGGGGGCGCAAATGCATTCACTCTTTTCTTGCCCGTTAGATTTTTAGTTTTTTAATTATATGATATATTTTTTATTTCACAAATTCATTCAGTTCTAAAAGCAAAGTAATAATAAGGACTTATAGATTAGGATAAAACTACTGTCAAGTACCTCGTGGTTTTCAATGGTTGATCAGTGCATATAAGCACACGTAAAGACACACAACGAATCATCAATCATAAAATAGGATATTAGCAACAACATAATTTAGCGCTTGCAGAGTAATTTTTTAAAATCTTTTTTTTTTGGCGACGATGTTGTTTACGAAATAAAGAAGATAAAGAGCAAATCTTTGGCGGTTGCTTAAACTAGGTTGATGGGTTCAAAAAAGATTCACTTGCGGGTGGAATTTGAAATTCCAATTTCAAACTCATCTCCACATTAAGCCCCAGAATCGTGATGTATGAATTGTTTTGTTTTTTTTCTGTTTTTAAGTTATCATGCATATTCAAGTCATACACGTTTACAGAAAGCATGTACAGGCGGTGTTAATGGTTCGTTAACATTTTATGATTTTAAAATTGGACGATATTTTGTAAGTTTTAATGTAGATATGTATTTCTGATATTTCTCTGATGATTTCATTTCACAAGAGAGTACTGTTTTTTTTTTTCTTTAAAAAAAAAATATTTTGTTAGCTTTAATTTATACAATTTTTAAAAAAAACACATTTATTTTCAGAAATAATAATAATAATAATGACACTTCTTTAATAATCTCTATAAGTTGAGTTAGTTCATTCGAAGGATTCCAACTGAAAGTAACTATGAAAAGTTGAAATAGCTTTAGAAATAATAGTAAACAATACCATAAAAATTATCAGAATTCACTGACGTTTTTTCAATGAACATTCAAAGTCATTATTAGTGTTTGAAGAAGACATTTTCTATACTCAAAAAGATTATCATTCATACTGTTTCATGATGGTCAAAACTATCTTATTGGACAGTTTTTGAACCATTTCACAATCATTGTCCCTATAATTGTTCAGGTCTTATTAAGAACACAATGAATTCATTGTGTGCTTTTCATATTGACTTTTTCATACACGTTTATCTATCTATTTTTCTGTGTTGAGTATATGTGTAGATTGATTGATCAGGGTTTATTTGGTGAATATTTACTTATAAAGAGTGTAATTTTCAATGGCGCGATTTCATTTTGAACATTTGAAATTATTCACATCTGTGTTGCCATGATCAGTGTGGTGGCATATTCCAACAGGTTAGATAAAAAACAACAACACAAATATAGCAGAAAATGAAGTTTGAAATTAAATCTTCTCTGGTTTTTAAAATCATTCTCTTATGTGCTGTGTAGTACTTATTCTTAAAATAAACGGAAAAACACTCAAAATATATTAGTTACTGCTCACTTATTGAACATTGAATAATCTATGAATAACCTTACATGCTTTTTCCATTGAATTATAAATTATATTAATTTATTTATATACACTACATATATTATTTTATCGTAATAATTATTATTATAAAATGTTTAGGTAACAATGGGACATAAAGGTCCTGTTACTGCTGTTTGCTTTAATTCTGATGGTCGACAAGTGGCAACTTATTCACTAACTGAAAGTACACTAAGGATATGGCAGGTAATACTTCGTTTTATTTTATTGTGTCTGGTGTTTTTTTTCCATGCATTTTCTTTTGATTTTCTGTTTGAAATTTATTAAAATTATTGAATAGTTCCTATAATATACGTTTCATTGTTAGTTGTAGTACCACCGTCTTAGAAGCAGAAAATTCTACATGATTGATTCATTGAAGATCTCTGCTATTGAATTCCAACTTAATTGTCTAAAATATATCATCGTGTGTTCTATCTCCTATTTGTAGTGCTTTTTGAGTAGATACTGTTAACGATAATTGTTAGAGTATAAATCTGAATCGATTTTTGCTTTCAAACTGGTAATTTGACTCAACATGGCGTGCAGTTTGCCTGACAACTCACAGAATTAAACATATTAATCACATAATCACAATGCATTCTAAGTAATAAATCACGATTTGTGTATATATCTGATATAGAATTGAGTAATATTTAGATAATCGACAGTAATCTAGAAACTTGTGCACTTCAGTTTGAACAACAGAGAAAAAGCACGAAATACACGGCTTATTTCGATAGCCAGTGTCTTCACACTCTGATTCCGTGCCTTAGCTTAGGTTCCCCTAACTTTCTTCTAACGTACTCGTACATCAACCATAATCGTGCGTTGAGGTCAGTCGGTATATATATATATGTAATCGCAGAATCGCTTACTCGATGGCTAAAAAAAAAATATAAAATCAATGCTTTAAACACACTTATAATCAAATATTGTCTATTTTTAAAGATCATATTTCACAATTGTGAATGAATTGTTGAGCAACGCATTCCTACATTAGTTCGAAAATGGATATATTTATTTTTGTTATGTTTTTAATAGCTACATACAACTGGATTTTTTGGTATGGGTGGACAACAAGTTAAACCGTTATCTATTCATCCTGTCCCACCATTAATTCCACCACCATCTTCTACACCAAAACAATCTTCAACATCATCATCATCGTTATCTAATGAACTTTTTAATAAGAAGAAAAAGAAGAATGAGAATGAGAATATAAATAATAGTCAAACTTCGCTATCAGATCGTTTAGAAGTATGGATTGATTGGTCAGAATCTCGTGTATTGCATTTGATTACAAATATTGGTATTAAACGACGTATTGCATTATGAATTTGTTTATTTCTCATATGAGAAATCAATAAAACAAATAATTGTTTATTTATCTGTTTCATTGATTCGTTTGTTTGTTTGTTTGTTTTTTTCATTCATCTCGTTTTAATTCTATTTTGTCTCAATATGGTTATCATCCATTGTTATTATGACTGTTAATGCTTTTAACAGAAAAATGAAAATAAATAGATAAACCAGAGAATATGACAAATGTACACACAATACTAGTAAAACTTTTACATTCCTTGTAATCAGTTTAAAAAATTAGAAATAGAAAGAGTCTTTTGTTGATTTTTTGTCATTGTTATTATTTTTTTTTTCTTGTGAATTATTATCAACTTCACATTCCACTTATTCCTATTTACAATTATTATTGTGATCAATTTATATTCTTGTTGAATGGAAAAGATGTAAAATTATCTGAATTTAAAATGATTCAATGTGTCATAGAAATTGTTCTGTTGATGTTTCTCAATATCTTTCAATCATTATTACTTACGCTTTTTCGATGAGCATTAATTCCTATATCCACATCCTAGAGGTAGTTAACTCGCCACCCATTTTTATGTTAGACCTTTTATACTATTCACAAAGTTATTAGTAGTAGCTTATCTGTAAACCATAAATTAACAATGGGGATTTTGCGTATTATTTACTTATTGACATATCTTCATGATTAAAACTTGTGTTGAGTTGAAATTGTCCATTCTACTTCATCTTTTTTTTTTATAGTTTCTAAAAAAAATTTTGATGTTGGTAATAATGTTAACGGTAGGAATGGTGGTATTAGATGCTAAATCGTTTTTCATATTTATATTTGAACTTTTCCTGTGATTATTATACATGTTTTCACTATTCAACTTACATTTTACACTTATGTTATCAAAAAATATGCAGTAATAACAGTTCTGTGATGAATTCACGTTCTTTATTTGTTCTATTCAAGTTAATTACTTCTTGGTCTTGTCTTTTTCCTGTGCTCATTTCTTGCTCTCTCTATTTCTCTCCATTCCTTAATGTCACTTCTAAATGGAATTTGTGTATACAAAAATTGGGAGAAACATTTATATTTATCCCATATCTCATTTGTGTTTTTTTCTTTTATTTATATATATATATATATCATGTTTTTTTTTATTTACTAATTTCTGACAATGAAAATACTCACTGTTTGTTTTGTTAGTTTTTCTTCTCCTTAATTTAGTTCTCTGACTCTCCTCTGTGTGTAGTTTTTCTTCCAGATTGAATTAATCATGATTTTGTGTATTTCAGGAAAAATATATCTTTAGATATTAACGAAACAGACTTACAAAATTATTTATTTATTAATCAATTAATTAATGCTTTTTTCTTTCATTTTTTTTTCATTGAAAAAATATACACAAAAACTCTATAAAAGTGTTTTTATATTTCTCTATGGCATCAATCTTTCTAACGTTACTAATAAATATGAATTATTTGTTGTCACTAGAAGAAGGAGTGTTGTATCATCTCGATTAAGATTTTCAACTTATAGTCGCCAATCTTCAGTTTCTAATCTTATTCTACCTAATTCAGTTTAGATGACCGAGTGTGGTGTGTGCTACTCATACGAACGATATAAGTAGTATAAGAATGGACGTGAAAGAAGAAGTCACACGGTCAGAAGAGGAAAACGGAAAGCAAATGGAGCAAAAGCAAGAAATAAATGGAGTACCAACAGGAAGGAAAGGAAGCAACAGCAGGAATGGAAGAAAGATGGAGCGTTGGAAGTCACGACTCAAAGATGATGTGCAAATAGAGTGTCCAATGTAATGTTGTCGTTTGTAACTGACTCAGAGTGTAAATTTGCATGATATAAACTTCCTCGCCTGACTCAGTCTTCTCACGAGTAGTATCAATAGTTCACATACTTAGAGTATGACTTAACGTCAAGTACATGAATCTGTACCTGATGAATGAATGTTCTTATATCCACTAAATTGCACTACGAGATGAAGTTACTTGAGACTTCAGGAATATAATATACATAATTAATTTACATAGTTCAGTCAACACTAAGAATTATCTGTAGCATTGATTACTACTGCACAGTGGCTAATGTTTGTTATCTCTTTTCAAGCCTTATTAATCTAAATTATTAGTTAACTTTGCGTTTTTTTTAATCAAGCTAATCGTGAAATTCTTTTTATTTTGATACATTGCGTCATATATTTTGTTCAAGATGAAATATACAAAAGGTCACAACCAATCAGTTCGCAAGCATAGTCATCCGTAATAGTAGATATAGGAGCATATATATATGCATCTGTATTTTATATACAATTTATTTGGTGGTTAACCAATTACAGTTTCTAGTCATTGTTCAGTTGTTCTTTATGTTCATGCTAGTTAAGTGTGAGAATAAGAAAGCAAATTTATTGCAGATCCTAAAACATTTCAATAACGAAGTTAATAAGAAACTACTGAAACCATATAACAAAATTAGTTTGAAATTATTCTGTTACTATACGAAATAAAACAAAACGGTAAGGTTTACTGAGTAATACTGAATTCATTTTAACTCATTGTTTCATATTTAATTGTGAACAGCCTAAAATCACATTGAATGATGTAATTATAAACAAATGTGTAACATACCTAATTCTGTGAAGTTTTAATGAATGTTTTCGAAACAGAACCAAGAATTATAAGAATTTACAAACTTCCGACTGTATGTTTATTCACACATTCTTCAAAGATAAGTGAAATAAAAAAAGCACATCTTCCAAATAATGGAATAAAAGTGAAATTTAGTCTCACTATATTACGATGTAAATGTAATCTCGTATAAATGTCTTAATGATGAGAGATGGTGGAGAAAATTTGTAGCTCAGGTGGATGATTGTGGTGGTGGTGTTTGGTTCTCTGAGCTGTATGTTTTGATTGTGGAGCTTTCATTGTTCTTCTGAACAACAACATTATCAGCACAAACTTCAGATACAAATGAAGCATTTGAATTTCTCCACGTTTGCCAATGTTCCGCCAGTTTCATGGCCCGAACCTGATCATCCTTAGTTAAGGATACATATCGACTTCGCTGGCCCAATAAATGGAACTATGGATTTGATTGTCGTCGACGCCTTCATAAAATGGCCAGAAATCAACCATGTAACGCCGCACACGACAACTAAGACAATACATCTCATTGAAATTTTCTCGCGAAGTGACATACCAGATGTGATCATATCTGACAATGGGTCTCAAATTACCTCCACAAAGTTCCAAACTTTCTGCCAACGACTAGCCATTAAGCACTTACGCTCGCCACCATACTACCCGCAATCGAATGGGCAAGCGGAAAGGTTTGTGGATACGTTTAAAAGAGCATTGGTTATGTCTAAATGGGAGAGGACGCCAGTCGATGCGTTACAAAATTTCTTGTACGTCTATCGAACAACACCAAATGAGTTGTTACCAGAGCCAAAGTCCCCGGCAGAAATCCTGATGGGAGGAAGACTGAAAACGATCCCTAGTCTGACGCATCCGACTGATGCAAAAAAATCAGTAGAGACAAAGCCTCAAAGGCAATCCTGTTACGAAGTGGGATGCCCTGTATTCGCCCATGACTGCAGAACAAATCATGGTCCCTGGGTAGAAGCGCGAGTGATCAGAAGAGTTGGGCGAGTTATATATGAAGTAGAGGTCGGAGGCGGAATTCGGTCACGCTATCGAGATCAGATACGCAAACGGCTAGCCCCAGATCGTCTATCAAGAGCAGAAAATCTTCCCCTTGACATCTTGCTTGATACCTTCAACCTACCAGCAGCCCCCTCACGAGAAGAAACTCAGTCACAAGCTGATCTTCGTTCCCGAAGGTATCCTCTCAGACAGCGGCGATTGACAGTCAAGATACAAGTCGACTCCAGGAGCGCACGCTGTTTAAAAGGGCAGGAGTTTTAGGGATGTTAGAACTCGCTTGATCAATCTCTTTATTTTGGATTTATTTCATGAACCGATCAGTTGACCTTGAGATCACATTCACACCAGAGAAATCCTTGGCTGCGATTCGTTACTGTGTCAGTTTAGTGTGCTATTTTTGTGACTGTCCCAAGGACGTCTCTATAGAGTATAAATAAACGCGATTTGAGTGCTTGGATTCATTGTGTTTTGGCTGTGTGTTTGTAGAATACACTTTCTACGCTATATCAAGACTTCTCGCTGATTCAATTTGGTCAAGGGATCATAGTAGCCTACCTGGACGCTGGTTTATTTTTTTGTTCTCGTTATTTGACTAAGGTGAACCTGTAACGTTTGAAGTACAACTAGAGACGAGTGTAACAATTTTCAAATCACAAAAATACCTAACGTAACTGACTTTTTTTCTAGTAAGTTCTCTGAAACATCAGTGCAACTGGCATGCGTAAGTTACCGATGTTTTTGATTGAATTCGGGAAATAATCTGAAACCAAATACATGGATTTTGAAGATAATGAAAAGAATCTAGCAGTAGAAGTCAACTACTCGCTACTTCTTATCTGTAATATTTGAATTATTTCCATTGAAAACTCCATAGTGAAATATCATATGCTAAAGAAATCGATCATTTCAGTTTATCAAATCATTCAAACAATGAACAATCATAGAAAAACAAATATCTATTTTAATCTTATGAGAAGAATATATAACTTAAAAGGACGCTAAAATGTATAATTCATTTGTAGAGAAAAATTTCATCATCATTCACACATATACTATCATGCTATACTATGTGTAATGTTAATCTTTTTCAAGATATTTTATTAATTTAAACACCTGTATATAACATTCAGATTTCAATTATACATCTGTTCATTAGACATGGTATTTACTTTAAAATAAATATATAATCTAATCATCATGCGTCATCATCAATAATATAATATAAAACAGATGTTAACAAATAGAATTAATCTAATATGAAATTTTATTCTTTGTTATGAGTACTTTCTCTTACAGTTTACTTCGCAACTTTAGTTAGGCAAATATTGGAAACCAGAAAGCACTAGATAGACTAGTATGAGACTCGTTAGCAGTTTGCATCTATTACTGTCCAACCGAGAATCACTTCAAATCCCAACGCATTATTTATTGAGCTACTCAATCCAGCTAGCTGTTGATTTACATAACGGGAATGAATTTTTATATTCATCTAATGCTTCTTGATTTTCAATGGTATTTTGACTAAAGATCATTTCGTGATTTTATCTTTAAAAATTTAATAATCTACACAAATCTCCTATACCATAGATAATTGATGTATTATTATATACTGAAAGAGACGTATCGAAATCCAATCCATATTATCAATAACGTAAAAAAGTTAAATACTCTCGAATAAATAAATAAATATCTTTTATACAATATAGAAATTTAGTACATAAGCATACAAGTATGTACATGTTCATATGAAGCATAAGTTATGTGTATTGTTCATTGAAATTGTTGCTTAAATAATTCATTGTAACAAAGTCGATCAATTATTTAGGCACAACATGTTTATAATAGTTGAAACAGATTTCTGAGTTATGTGTGCTGTCAGTTATTGGTTGATAAAATAGAGTATTTTGTTTTGTTCAGTGGTGATAAACTGCAAACTGGGATAAAATCTCTTTTTAACAGTCTCATATATTTCCCCATAACTTTTTGTTAGGTCACTTTCACTTCGTCATATGAATTAGTATGAAAATAATTCCTATAGTTTGGTTATGAACAAAATTGAAATTGAAACTCACTTATTTTCAATATTCAAATTTAATTGTCTTTATATTGTAGTAAAATTAGCATATCCTTGCTGATACAGTAATTTATTATTAAAAGTAAATTGAATTATTAACAACTGGATAAAATTCACTTTAAAGAATTCTTTTTACTATCTTTGTTTTATTATACAATTATTCGAGTTTGATTACTAAAACAGAAGGCTCCTACACGCAACGCCAATCCGTTACTCGATATAGAAAAGCAAGAAATAAAAAGGAAGCATTCATTGGCTAAATCGAATCCAGAATATATATATATATATATCCATTAGAAAATAAAACCACACTTTCAAACAACAGTTTATCTTTTTCTTTAAAAAAGATCTATCAAATTTTAATCGATAGAATCTACTCGTCAGTATTTTTTGTTTATCTTTTAGCTAATGTATCAATCATTTGCTCAATAACTTATTTTTTTTTGTTAACTCTTCTAACTATAAACGAAAATATTCAGTGATAAACTTTTTATACTGGACTTTATGACCATTAATTGAATCTATTCCAAGCTAAAAATGATACTGAATCATTTCAGATATTTGGTTAAGTTATTCAATTCATCGATATAAATTAGAGATGATATTATTATCTTCAAGAATTTAGATAAACCTTGATGATAGTTGCCAGCTTACATTAGACCTGATTACAAAGATTTTAACTAATTGCACTTCAATCATCTAACATTCAAATATCTTGCGCATAATTCCGAG